TTTTTGACTGGCTCCATTCCCAACAGCGTCGCCTCGCTCCATCTACTAGGCTATCTGTACGAATATCGGTTGGCAAGGTGGCATTGCATCCCGATTGCCCATAGCACATAAACTCGCTACTGGTAACCCGGTGCTCCAATTTTCTACGGTTGTGGTACCCTTTGTTTACAGATCTTCCTCTTGTATATTGTTCCTGAAATCTCCTTTCTCTTCAGTGTGAATTTCAACCTTGTAACGGCTTCTGATGTCTCTACCTTCGAACAAAGTCTGCCACGCCAACATCATGCTCTTGGCTGGACTAGCAAAGCTGTAATCCAAATTCTTTATGTCTGGGCCGATTGTACAATACCATCACACACATTACTTCTAAGAAAATCAGTGGCTACTTCTGATGCCCCACTTCCCACCCTGTTTCACGTTTACCAGAAGTCTTGGAGATAATATGCTTATTGGGTCTATTCGAGCTTATATTGGAAACTTCTCTTACATGGGCACGCTGTAAGCTTCGTGTGAAGTAGGTTGCTGTTGAGGAGCCACGTGTTGTTTGAGAAAAGAGAGACTGTCCTGGTGTAGGAATATCAATGATATGTGTTTGCTTTTTGTTTGGTGTGCATAGTCGCGAGACGCCTTTTCCATCTCCTGACGCTCATCCATCTTCCTTGTGTGCTGTGCGCCCACCCGCGTGGCCCTTCCCAACTCTCTGTTGCCCACCCCTGTCCTGCGACCCTCCACCCTCTTCCCCCTTCTCCCTCATTCCCTCCTTTAGACCCACTTAACTTAGCTCCACCTTCCCCTCCTCCTCTTATTGCCCCGAGCTGCTTTCATCTCTCCAATCCTGTCGCACCTTGTTCTCCTCTGTGTGCCAAGCAATGCTTCCCACCATGCTCGCCTCATCAAACCCCGGGGTTGCGTCATGTGTGTGCCTGGCTGCTGTCTCCTGCTGTGTGTGTGTGTGTGTGTGTGTGTGTGTGTGTGTGTGTGTGTGTGTGTGTGTGCGCGTGCGTGTGTGTGTGTGTGAGTGAGTGTGTGCGTGTGCGTGCGCGTGCGTGTGCGTATGCGTGTGTGCGTGTGCATGTGTGTGTGTGCGTGTGCGTGCGTGGGTGTGTGTGCGTGCGTGCGTGCGTGTGCATGTGCGTGAGTGCGCGTGCTGGTGTGCGTGCGTGCGCGTGCGCGCGTGTGTGCGGGTGTGCGCGTGTGTGCGTGTGCGTGCCTGCATGCGTGCGTGCGTGCGTGCGTGTGTGCGTGCGTGCGCGTGTGCGTGCGTGCGCGTGCTCGTGTGCGCGTGCGTATGCGTGTGTGCGTATGCGTGCGTGCGTGTGCGTGCCTGTGTGCGTGCGTGCGTGTGCGTGCCTGTGTGCGTGCCTGTGTGCGTGCGTGCGTGTGCGTGCCTGTGTGCGTGCCTGTGTGCGTGCGTGCGTGTGCGTGCCTGTGTGCGTGCCTGTGTGCGTGCGTGCGTGTGCGTGCCTGTGTGCGTGCGTGCGTGCGTGCGTGCGTGCGTGCGTGCGTGCGCGTGTGCGTGCGTGCGCGTGCTCGTGTGCGTGCGTGCGCGTGCGCGCGTGTGTGCGGGTGTGCGCGTGTGTGCGTGTGCGTGCCTGCGTGCGTGCGTGCCTGCGTGCGTGCGTGCATGCGTGTGCGTGCGTGCGTGCGTCTCAACCACCATGCCACAGAGATCTCTCGTACAACTCGTTCACCGGCTCCATCCCCGAAAGCATTGCATTGCTCACTCAGCTCACCGTTCTGTACGGAGCTTGTTAGGTCTTTATGCCAAGGCTCCCTTCCCAAGCAAATGCCCATAACACCACTCTACTGCCTTGACACTAGCATATGTTCGTGCCTGTTCGGCCCGTAAAAAAACGATAGATCCGGTGCAGCTCAAATTATTTTATATTTTCTACTCTGTTGCGGCCAGGCCGTGACATTCTGGTCCAGGCTGGGTCAAATAAGGTGTCATAGACCGCAGCCCTGCCTGTCGTAGGCAGGTGCAGTTGTTGTTAGGTGTGGTTTATCGATGCCAGATTCCTACATATTTAGTGGAAGAATACCCATCGGTGATATCTAGTGGGCGAAATGGCAGATTATTTTATCTGACATCTAGTGAGCACCTGCTGCTGCCTCGTGGGTGCAGCAGCAGCAGGTGTCTCAGCATGAGAGCGTGGAGCCGCAAACAGCAGCTGCGGAGGGGCATGGCGGCACACCCGATGCCCCCTCGCCCTGGCAAGCTGCCCCCACTGCCCCGCTCCTCGCTTTACTCCCCGCTCCACTACCTGTTGTACGAATCTGCTTGCCATCTGTTTGTAGTTCTTTGATCTGGTTCCGGCTGGATGCTCTATGTGGGGTGGACGTATGTACCATTTGCACCTTTAAGAAGCTTACGGAGCAGTGTTCTTGCCCTTGGCCCCCTTCTCATCCATTTCCTGTGACCAGAAATCTAGCCGATAACAACCTCACTGGGTCTTTTCCAACTGGCCTCAAGAGATTATCCTCATTGCAGTATCTGTAAGCAGTGCGAGCAAGATAGGCTGATGCTCCACCCAGATGTTTGGTTTAAGTGATGCCAAGAGGCTTTAGGAAAAGGAGGGTGCTGCAGCTGTTTGTTTCGAGAGCATCGCCTCGTTGAATGCACTAAGCTGTCTGAAAGAAGCTCATGCGATCATGTGCCATTGCGTTCGTGCTTGCCCCCCATAGCTATCGTTGTTATTGTTGTGTCAGTAATGCTCTCCAGGACACACTATAAGAAGTTCCTACCTACTAGAAGTCACGAATCTAAATCAACATGCAATCACATATAGTCTCACTCTGCATGCAACCTAAGGTACGCGCATGAAGTCAAGCTTGTATAGTCGATGAATCAGGGCGTACAGTTAGCAAATCTCATTTTTTTGTAAAGAATGGCATAAAGTTGCCGTATTTATGGCCAACCATTAGAATGGTGGCATGTGGTGGAAGGTGGGGTGGGATCGTGTAGGATAGAATGTGAGTTCACGGATGTGGGAGAACGAGTCGTTCCTCACCTCATGTCTTCACTGCACTGCATGCTTGTACCCTTGTATGAGGTGCCACATCATATGTTTCCCTGTTCTGCTAGCTTGCCAGCTGTAGCACCTCAATTTTGTTGTGTTTGTCTTTTCTAGAGGATGAGCAACTTTCAAGTGAGGAACCAAACTGAACAGTAATTGTGTTGCCCGCTTCCCTTTCCTTGTGACCAGAGATTGTTCTGCCAATCAGCTCAGCGGGTCCCTTGCAACTGGATTTGAACTTCTTTCTTCGATGTCGGGTCTGGTATCATTGTGAGTGAGATAGGATGATTCTGCAAGCACATGTCTGCTCTGCCCTGAGCCTGAGTAATATGGCTTGTTTGGAAGAAGAGAGGGACGCCGCAGGTGCATCGAGAGCATCACCTCGTTTGCTGCACTAATCCGTCTGTAAGAAGCTCATGTGATCATGGTCCATTGCTATCATGCTTGCTTGCCCATCATCGTAGTGTGTTTTGTGCCCTTCATGTTTGTTACACATTCCGTATAAGCCAAATTGCTGTTTCTTGATGCCAGTATTCTTGCCCACCTTTCGATCCCATGTTTCCAGAGATTTTTCGGCCAATTGACTCACTGGGTCTATTCCAAGTGAAATTGGAGACATTTCCACATTGCAATATATTTAAGCAGTGTCAAAATAGCTGGTGGAGCAGGCACATCGGCTTGTATATACTGGGTTTGTTGGAAGAAGGATAAGGATCAGCTTGTTCCCTTCCCTAATCTGTTTGTAATAAAAAATACATTTGGGTAATGACATTTGGGTAAGGCTGAGATGTTGGTTGGTGTTACACCCAACGAACATAAACCTCCATGAACTGGCATATACTAGTAGAGTTTGCCCACGACTCATACAAATGCGCACCCTGCCCTTCATAGGCTCAACAGACGTGTATCCATGCCTGCATTCCACCCTGACCAGAGCTCTTGGGGAAAATCAGCTTACCGGGTCTATTCCAGCTGCTTTTGCAAACATCGGATTCTTGGAGACTCTGTAAGCCTGTGAAGTAGTAGTCTGACTGTTGAGGAGCCACCTGTTGTAGAATTGAAATATTGCTTGTCCAACCCACCATCCTCCCAGCTTCCACCCTCCTCCTTTTCTCCTTCAACCCTGCTCAATGCCACCTTTCCCCTTCTGTCATTGCCTCTTGCATCTGCTCGTGATTGCCGGAAATCGCTATCCCGATGTGCACCAAACAATATCCCATGGTCCCACCATGCTTGGCTTGTCTCCCTCATGGGTTTCTTGCGTGTTCGTTCTTGCTGTTTCCCCTGCCATATTTCCCCACGCTTCTCATCTCATTTCCAACACTCCACACCACACCACACAGGGACCTTTCCGGCAACCTCTTCACCGGCTCCTTCCCCAACAGCATCACCGTTCTCAACTCGCTCACTGCTCTGTACGAACCTGTCTAGAATTATATGTGTTTCAGTGGCGATTTTCGGCTATTTTTGGACCAAAACGACGGGTGGCCGAGTAAAAAATCAACACGTGTGCTCGTCGACGTATCATGGGAGCATGCCGGCAGCGAGTTAATGCCAGCCAGCTTATCAAGCCGAGTTTACTCCACACGGGGTAGGGAGGCTGCTCTGGCCCCGCAGCTCGAGCTTCTGACGAGTCGAGACTCCTTCACCAGCTTGCGCGCTTGCCTGACTCCGTTCAACACTTGATAAAGATCATTATCATTTGACAAGCACCATGCCTGTTGCATCCACTCGATCCTGGCACATCTCGTTTGATTCCAGTCATTTTTGTGTTTCATCTCTATTTCAGCCTGCGGTTGAGCATGCTGCGATGACACGACCTATGAAATGAATGGCACATATTGTGCAGCCACGTGCACTTCTTACTTGCCACTGAGTATTCTCCCAAACGTGTTGTACCAACCTGCCACCTGAAGTTCTTTATTGGCTGTCATAAATCTAACCGAGCAGTATTCGCAACTAATTTCCACCCTTTGTGTCCAGAGATCTAGCTGCCAATCAGCTCTCGGGGTCTCTCCCAAGTGGAGTTGGAAACCTCGTTGCGTTGGAGTATTTGTAAGCAGCGTGAGGTTTGCTGATGCTGCAAGCATATGTTTGGCATCAGTAATGGCTGAGTGGCGTCTTTAGGGAGAGAGAATGAGTGCTGCTGTTGTTTTTTTGGGGAGCACAACCTCCTTGACTGCACTAAGGTGTCATGTCATCATGTCATCAAGTGGACATGGAACATGTCATTATGTCATGATCATTTCATCATGTGCCACTGCTATCGTTCTTGCCCGTTGTGCTGCTAGTTCTCTCTACATCCCTGTTCCAAAGCATGCTGGGATGGGATGAGCTGTGACCCGTTAACTTTGCACGTTGGTTGTGTCAGCCAGGTGTTCTTTAACCTAGCACTTTTGTTTGATTCGAACGCTTCACATATTTTCCAAGGCCTTTCCTACGAGCAGCACATAGTTTCTTAATCTTGTTGCATTGCCACTTGGATGCATTCCACTCACATGTCTAGCGTCCAACACAGCAGTATTCTCGCTTACCCGCTTTCCACCGCTTGCGTCCAGATATTTATCGACCAATAATTTCACCGGGTCTATTCCAAATGAGATTGGAAACCTCGCTTCACTGAAGTATCTGTAAGCCATTCATGTGAGATTGTGCTGTATACCTGACTAGTCTGGCGGCAGCTTGCACGTTCGGCTCGTGTAAACGCCGGGCAGAGCTGGCTTGGATAGAAGACCTTGTGCAGTGCAGTGCAGGGATAAGCCAGGACCGTGTCATCACATCACATCACATCACATCACATCACATCACATCACATCACATCACATCACATCACATCACATCACATCACATCACATCACATCACATCACATCACATCACATCACATCACATCGCTCTGGTCATATGTGGGTGGGGTTAAATCCCTCTAGTCGTGTGTGATTTGTTTGAGCATCCTTAGTCTGTTCAGGTTGTCGACACTCTTCTACCGAATCTGAATTATCCTGGCACGGATGTTGCATAGGGTGATTAGAGAGGTAATCTGCAGTGCAGCAGCACCACTGTCAACCTTGATTCACCCTTAATGTGTAAGCCCGATTCCTGTCGGCTTGCTTAGGTAGCTATATCCCCAAAACGCATGCTTTTACTGTAGGCACCACCACCACCCACCCAAACTTACAAATTTTCTCCGCAAAAGAAGAACCAATCGAGGCTGTTTACATGGGCGAAGCCTAAACAGCCTTGTCAGCCAGGGGTTTCAAAAAGAAGCTTCCGTGGCTTGGCTGGAAACCCCTGGCTGTCTACCTCGCCCCCCCAGCTCGCGGGGTCACAAGGTTGATGGTCCGCCGAGTTATGGGCTTATCCAGGGCTGCTTCCGATTTCTCCCATCCCGCCACAGCTCCTTTTCCTCTGTTCGCACCATACAATGTTACTCACCTGATTTGACTCATCATCATCAACCCCATTTTCCAAGTGTCACTTGTGTTCCTGCATGCTCACTCTCCTGCCATGCCCACTGTTCTCAACTCGCTTCTTTCTACACTCATTCCAAGCAGAGACCTCTCCAGCAACTCTTTGTCCGGCTCCCTTCCCAACAGCATCACCTCCCTCGGTCGGCTCCGCTCACTGTAAGAAAGAAGCTCTCTAGCATCATACACCATGGATGGGTTGGGTGGTGCTAACATCTCGTTTGCTCGCTTGAGTCTGCTCATGCCTGCCACGCCACAACATGTACATTTGTTTTGATGCTCTTTTTGCTGCAGGGGAGTCAATAACACCAACCTCAGTGGAACGCTGCCAACTTTTCTGGGGCTCTTGTCCCTCGATTCACTGTACGTGAGGCACTAGGCTGCTTCCGTCATCACCCGGATATTAGACACATTTTTCTTATCTCGCACTGCTCAGAATATGCTAGTCTATTTTGAAAATGGAGAAGATTGGGTGTCCTATAGATGAGAAACGAACTTCAGTGCGGAAATCAGATTTGACGAGAGAAGAGAGAACAGCAAGAGATTCCGTAATGGTGGTAAACGGTCTATGTTGTGTTGCGACCCCAGTTTGTTCCACGGTGGAACTTCCATCTTACATCTCCCCTTCTCACCGCAGCAACATCAGCAGCACAAAGCTTACGTGCCCGCCTGACTACACCTCTGGCTGTGACCCAGCGCTAGTATCGCCCAAGTCAGCCTTCTGCCACACGTGCCGCTCCTTCTGCAACACATGCGGCCAACCTTCAGGCAAGTTCATGAAGCACAGTCACTCGCACCAGAAAAAAGCCATGATGTTCACGAATTTTCATAATCCACGCAAGGGATTGCACAAGCACAGGGCATGGCACAAGCACAGGACATGGCACAAGCACAGGACGTGCCACAAGCACAGGACATGGCACAAGTCAAGTTGGTCATTTACGCCATTTCAGCCCGAGTACACGTAACGTACGCGTACATGTACGTTTACGTGTACGTACCCCGGGCAGGTATAAAAAAAAATCCCCTAGAAATTTCTTTGAAAACGGTTTCCGAAAAACTAAAAAATATAAAATCTTTCGACGACCTGTGCTGTGTTAGCGTGTTAGTAAAACGGCGCGACGTTTTTCAAAGTAGTAATGTAAGAAACAGGAAGGTTGCTAGCTAGGGTTGCTATGGTGTGGCGACTACCCTACGTACTATGTCGGCTAAGGGCACAAGCAACCACAAAGACTGGCTCCTCTTCTGTAGCCATTCTTCTTCGTTCCACTGTAGCCTCTGCTGTGGAACAAGATAAGATTTTCAACGTTTCCTCTGCAAACTTCATTTGACTGCTTGGCTTATTGCAATCAGCTATGCTCCCGCTGTTTGAAGTTCTGTCAGCATCACTTTTCCCCACTGCATCACTCTATGCTCCGGTAGGTTCGACCGCAAACAGCAGCGCCAGCAGCAGCGAGTCTTCTCCAGCAGCATCTGGAGGTGGAGGGGGTGTATCAGTGGGAGCCATCGTTGGCATTTCTGTTGCTGCTGTGGCCATTCTGCTGCTGCTGCTGGGTTCCATGCTGCTCTATCTAAGGCACAAGATGCAGCAGAAGCCACCAGGTAGGACGACAACGCAATCAATGAATCTTGTGCTGTTGAGATTGAGACCTGATTCCTGCAGTTCCAAGTGTAGATGTCTGCAGCACTGTGATCAGTAAGAAACAAGGTTAGTTCTCGTTGAAGTATGCAGACTTGAGCGCGCAAGTTGAGTCAGGCCAGTTAGGCCTGGGTGTTTATGACCTGCCTTTCCTCGAGAAAGTCGAGTTGAATCATCGACAAGATGACTCGTCACTGAGGCATCGCCGGCTTGAGTCGGCTAATCCGTCTTCTTCACTCGCTTGGCCCAACTCAAGGATGAATTAGGCAAGGAAAAACTCTTGTCCGGGCAGGTGGAAATAACCTACTTCCAGGCAGGGGTTCACATGTTTTCAGTCTCTAACCACCTACGAGATATTCCAGACGCTGTGTGCTGGAAATCTGACAAGTCCATATGTAAGGGCTGACAGTAGATAAGAAGTAAGTTGACAATGTCGGTGGTTGAACTTTGTTGAGGTGGGCGCGAAGTGGTTGGGTGTCATAATGCTTGAGAACTTCCGTTGGGATCAATCTGGGAAATCTGCAACGAAGTTACCCCAACAGGTCGTTAGCCAATTCTCCCCTTCACCCTGCGGCCAGGTCCCGGAACCAGCCTGGCAGCGGCGCACTGCACGGAGTTGTCACTGGAGGAGGTGCTCAAGGCCACCAACGACTGGTCGCAGGACAACCTGCTTGGCTCGGGTACATTTGGTGATGTCTACAAGGGCGTCTCTCCCCGCGATGGCACCACACCCTGGGCAGTCAAGCGTGCCAAGCTCATTGGCGCGGACTTTCAGAAGGAGGTGAGTGAGCTGCACTGCACTGGACAACATGGTCGGTATGATCCTCGAAAGAGGACCTAGTGGTTTGAGTGTGATTCCTCTTTCATGCTGTTTGGATTTTGGAACCAGGCTGCTCTGCGTGTGTGTGTGTGTGTAGCATAGCCTCTCTTTGTGGAGGACCCACTACTACTACTTTGTTTGGAATCCTGCTACTAACTCAGGGAGAAGCTGAGCCCGCCATGTGTGCCCTCTTTGGCCTTTCTTCATTGGCCTTTCTTCATTGGCCTTCTCTTCTGCTTTCAGGTGGAGCAAATGGCCGATAAGAACCATCCCAACATTGTGCGGCTGCTTGGGTTTGCTGTCGGAGGGGACATGAGGACGCGGCCAGAGCAAGTGCTGATCTACGAGTTTGTGCCCAACGGTGACCTCCACAAGTGGAGAGATCAAAGTATGTGGGTGGGTCAAAAGTTTGTCCCGCAACAGCGGGGTTCATTCATGGGTGTTCTTCCTCCCTATTGCGGGGTTCAGATTGGAAACATACCCAGCTCAGCTGAGCTGCAGTATTCGTTCTCCGTTTCAGCGAGTCGGTTGCAAGTCGGCTGCGAGTCGCTGCGTGGCATTTCTGTGTGCCGTGCTCATGCCGAGATAGGTGGACTAAAACCACGACTTTCGGAACAAGCACTCACATTTGGGCCCAAAACGAAAAACCTCCTGTCGTCTTTTCTTTTTTCCAAATCTGAGTCCTTCTGAATTTTATCCTTGGTTGTCAACATAGCACCCAGAAGCTACAAATATCTTGATTCAGAACATTCTCTGCTGGTTAATCACCTATCTCTGAGATCCATCCATTGAGTTAAGCTTCATCCCCTCGCTTACATCAAGCTTAGTATTCTACAAGTTAGTATTATTCACAGGCGATCCCCTGTCAGCTTGCAAGCAGGGCCGCTTAAAACCGGAGGTCCAAGAGTTTCTAAGTTAGGAAGGTTGAAAGGGGAGAGAAAGGTGACTGGCTCGCGAGCCAGGGTGGTGTCGAAATCGGTGGTAGCGGGTCGCTAAGTATGAAAAAGTCGCGAGTGTAACCAGATCTGGAATGCTACGTCAGAACTCGTTCGCTGACTGTTTCGGACGGGCTGCAAATGTGTTTGCGAAGTTGTCACCGCTATCGTCCTCGCTTGAACAGTAATTTCGCTTGGCGAAAATCGTCCCAACAATTTGCGAGGAGAGCTCGGTATCAACTGGGTCACACCCAACCAAAGCTAGGAAGGTTGAGGCAGTTTCGGGCTGTTTGGGACTCCGGTTTTAAGGCTAGCCCTGTGAGCCCCTTCAAGTCAATGTCAGTGGTGCAAGTCGCATGGAAGTGCCATGCCAAAACTGGTGGGTTCTTCTGTCCTGGTTGCCTTGCTCTAAGCTGGCTCGGCTCAGATGGGGAAAGGGACGAGCCCACCTCGGCTCGTGGCGCACCCCGTCTGTTCAGACCGTTGCTGCAAAGGATGGGCCTCTAGGTTGTTAGGTTCCTCACTGCATGTGCTCCATGACTTGTTGTAACCCCAGCTGTCTTCTTCTTCTTGTTCCTCCCCCACCTTCCCCTCTTCCTCCCCCCCGGCCTACCCCCACCCCCCCGCAGAAGCATCACAACCCTTGAGCCTTCAGCAGCAACTGGACATTCTGATCGGCGTTGCACGTGGCCTGGAGTATCTCCACAGCTTCAAGATTGTACACCGCGACATCAAGCCCGCCAACATCCTCATTGGAGATGACATGCAGGCAAGCTCTCATCCAACACACACCACATTGTAACAGCGAGGACAGTGCGGGCATGCCAGTGCTGACATGCCAGTGCGGACATGTGGTAGTCGATAGTTGAGCTACTTGGTTGATTCGAGACCAAAGCATGAGCACAAGGCAGACCCAGGCCGGTCCGGTCCGGTTGGGCTGTGACGATCCGGCCTGACTCGGCCAGCTTTTTAAGATGTCAACCTGCGGCCCGCCAGAATATGGCAGGCAGGCAGACTCCTGCCTGACGGACAGGACTGTAGTAAGTAGGCAGTCATTCGTGCGGATCAACGGTTAAAATATGCCGACTGGCGTGGATCAACGGTTGGAATTCGCCACGCCACGCTGATCCGATCGACAAACGAAAATGTGCATCCTCTCATATCGACGGCCAAGATGCATCGATCCACGCAGATCGGTGGTTGAAATTACCAATCTGCGGCGCAGACCAGAGGTCAAACGGCTTGATCTACGGTCGATGTGGTCGATCGATCCAATAAGACAGCGGGTTGGTCGACCCGAGTTTGGGTCGGGTCAAACTGACCCTCCCTCAGTTCACAGCCGAGCCGACGCCCATAGGTCTGGGTTGGGTCGGGGGCAGGCGTGGGCTCCCGCCGATTACGGGTCGAATTGATCCGGCCCAAACCCAACTCGGTTCGAGGAAATTCCGGTTCGAGGAAATTCCGGTTCGAGGAAAGTCCGGTTCGAGGAAAGTCCGGGTCGGGTTGAAAGTCTGAGTGCAAGGACCTGGACGGGTGGCATTGGGAGTGGATGGAGGGCACGTATTGTGAGGGAAAGAGGAAGCAGCATCTTCAGTTTAAGGGCAAAAAAAGAAGGCGGCTGAAACGGAGGCATGTGACAAGTTGAGTTCACATGACTGTATTGAATTCACTCATCTGACTCAGTTCACCCGATCCCATGCATTTCATGTCAACTTAAATTGAAAAGGGTGTCGAACCGGTTCTGCTTGACGCGGCTTTATTCAAGATATTAAACTGACTCAAGGGATCCGATTCGAGTCGCACTTTGGACGGTTTGAGTCGGTCGAACCTGGGCTCAAGTATAAGCACAAGAGGGGGGTGGAGGGCGACTGAGGCACCAAGGACTCACCTTGAGGAAATAAGACCCATAGTAATGGAGAAGGAAGAAAATCTCTCCAAGGAGAGGAATATTTGTACAGCATACAAGTCCGTTTTCAGAAATCAGCTCAACGTGCCCTTGCAGGCAGGCCTCAGGGCAGACTTTTTCTCTACCTCTGAACAGGTCTGTCTGGGCCAGCCTGGTCCGGACCAATGATCAGGTTTCTACCATCGTACTTATGGTTTGATTCCTGCCAATCATCTATGTCTTTTGCCTTGGCTACATTGGTCCTGCACCCACCAGGCCAAAATTGCAGACTTTGGGGTTGCGAGGATGGTAGAGGGCACGACAGTGGGCAAAACTCAACACGCGGGAACACCGGGCTATATGGATCCGGCTTACATCAAGACACACAGGGCCACCACAGCTTCTGATGTCTACAGGTGAGCTAGGAACCCCATGGAGAGGCTTAACTGTAATAATACACCATTCCAAGTTTGTGATTGACGGAACTTATCCTCACCGTGCCTGTGTCCAAGATTTGTCACCACTGCTATCTGATTGCTCTCAACACCCGTCCCTCTCTGCAGCTTTGGTGTGCTCATGCTTGTGGTGCTCTCTGGACGCCCTGATCCCACCGACTGCGATGGCAACGGCCAACACATCCTGCAGTGGGTACGTGGCATGCCATGCCATGCCATGCCATGCCATGGCTGAGTGCCCTGTAGACTAGTGTAACTTCACAGCCTGCACAAGTGGTGACTAGCTCGTTTTGGGATAGGAAAAAACTTTCTCAATTCAGCCTGCACAAGTGGTCAGCGTTGTGTTGTGATCCGCATGACTGATAGCCACTCCCCGTTACTCTATTTCTGTCGCTTCTGTAGCAACCTATTTGATTGCTCCCATCGCTTCGTCCTGCACTATTCTCCCTTCTGATTTCTCCAGCCTGTACCCTATCCCACCATTTGCACGCCCTCAGGCATCTGAGTGCTTCGCCTCGGGTAATTCAGCGAGCCTCAAGGACCCAACCATGGACGCCCCTGGAGATGCGGTGCTGCGCGTGGCTGAGCTGGCAGTGAGCTGCACCGTGGACCGCACTGCAAGCCGCCCAAGCATGGCGCACATTGCCACCCAGCTGCAGGCTGTCAGGGAGGAGGTGGCGGGGAGAGAGGAGCTGCGAGAAGCACTCAAGGTGGACACGGAGGTGCAGGAGATGAGGGAAGATCCACCTGGCGATCTTGACGAGGAGCTCAAGGAGATTGGCGTGATCCTCTCAGGGAGATTGCCAGGTCAAGATCGCGCCGAGTGCAGTGCCAGGGAGCCTTTGATGGATTCTTCAGCACCGGCACGCTCTCCAGATCTCCAGAACTCCAGCTCTCTAGCTCTCCACCGCTCCAGCTCTGACGTTGCGTGTGAAATCAGCAGCTTGAGTAGTGGTTAGGCTTGATGGCATGCCCAGCTTGCAATCAGCTTCTGCCCAGATTGTTTTGCGTGTCTAACTGACTGCCTCGGAGGGTGCCAAGAGCTGTGTATCATTCTTGTGATGTGAGTTGGTCAACTTTCTCTTGTATGGTATGCATGGGAATGGAAAAGGGGTCAGAATGACTGCAATGGACATACGGGTATGAGCATTTTAGCAAGATGAAACAACCAAGAAAGGCATCGTCAAGCGGCCAAACCAAAGCTTCCATGCAGTGACAACCTCCTGCCGTTTGCACACAACTTGTGTATCATTCTTGTGATGTGAGTTGGTCAACTTTCTCTTGTATGGTATGCATGGGAATGGAAAGGGGGTCAGAATGACTGCAATGGACATACGGGTATGAGCATGTTAGCAAGATGAAACAACCAAGAAAGGCATCGTCAAGCGGCCAAACCAAAGCTTCCATGCAGTGACAACCTCCTGCCGTTTGCACACAACACTGCGCTAAAGGTACTGATACTAAATCTTTATGGAATCACCACCACAAACGACACAAGCAGCCACTCTCAGGCTTCTCCCCACCCTCCTCCCCGCGCTTCCTTCTCATATTCACCACAGTGCTGAGAGTCAAAAGATTAGCTGCTCCTGAGTCCTGACTTCTGATTAACCACTCCTCGTTTCTGCTATGCTACCTCTCGTACCACCAGCAGCATTGTCACACCCTTGAGAAGTCTCTCACGGTTACTGTCAGGCACCCTGACATTTACACCAAACTGGAGTGAGTTGTGTTACATACAACCAGACTTTCCATGTCTTTACAAGCCACAGCCACAGCCACAGCCACAGCCACAGCCACAGCCACAGCCACAGCCACAGCCACAGCCACATCTCCTCTCTTTCCAAGTCACAGCCTTCTTGGAAACCTCTTCCTTGCAGGGATGCTGCTTCTGCGATCGGATCACTGCTACTGCTGCGTTTCTCCTCCTGCTACCGGCACAGCTCTCTGGCGCCTAGGGCTACCAGACCAGAGGCCATGTGGGAACAGGGCTCGGATGGGGGAAGCAGGCCGTGGCAAGCCTCGCGCCACTAACGATGAGGATGGAAACGAGCTGCTACCATCCGTGGAAAATCCGTCACCCCTTGAACAGCCGCCTTCACCTCTGGAATCACCCATGCCCACCACCTTGCTCCGCGCGCCACCTCCACCCCTGCCCACCCAGGCGGTGCTTCTGCCGCCGCCGCCGCTGCTGCTGCTGCTGCCATTGCCGCTCCGACTGCTGGGGAAACTACCATGAGAGATGAATGAACCAGACTGCAAGCTGCTGCTGCTGCTGCTGCCACTCGTTCCAGCCGCAGCTGAGATCTTGGCATCACCACCTCTCACAGTATTAACAGCAGCAGCAGGTGAAGGGTCGGAGGAGGCAGCCGGCCAGACACGACGCGGAGAGGGATAGCGAGGGAAGTGGAAACTCGAGAAGGCGGAAGGAAGGGAGGACGGTAGGCGCCTGCTTGCTGATGAAGATGGTGCCTCGTCCACATCTGTGAACTTGGAAGTGCTACTCTCTACAGCTACAGGCACCACCCCCCTTCCGTTCTCTTCCTTTCCGCCCCCTCCCACGCCTCCTCCACTTCCTCCCCGTCCTCGTTGCTTCCACGGACTCATCACCCCTCTCCACCTTCTACCCTCCCCCCTCACAGTCTCACCATCCCTTCCCTCCATTCCTATTCCTACTTTCTCCTGCTCTGCCACGGACTGCTTGCCAATCTCCTCCTCCCCATGACGCTGCTGCTGCTGCTGCTGCTGCTGATCCGGCCAGCCCACAAGAGAATACACAATTGACTCATCGGTCTCATGCTCATGGCCTCCTCCTCCTTCTCCGTCCTCACCATCTGCTGTCTCCAGATGTATGTCAGGGATGGCAAAGAGTGGGAACCCACGCACCCCAACACCACGCGACCCTGCTGCTGTTGCTACTGCTGCTGCTGCTTCTGCTGCTGCTACGGATACTAAGGATGCTCTATTTACTCCTGAAGCAGATTCTTGTGGGTGTGGAAGAGCAGCAGCAGCAGCAGCACTAGAGGACCCCCCCCTCCCTCCAGACCGACGCTCAGAAGAGTTGAGGCGTGAGAAAGATGATAGGTTGGGGGACGGGGAGGGATGAGAGGAGGAGCAGGTGGAGGAGGGAGGGGGCGAGAAGAGCGGCGAGGAGGCGGAGACAGCAGAGAGAGAGGCAGCGAGAGGGGCAAGGGAGGACGAAATGGAGACAGAGGATTCAGCAGAGCATGTGCGAGAGAAGAAGAGGCTCCCAGTTCTTGTTCCCGATCCAGCAGCAGCAGATACAGGAGCAGCAGTAGCAGCAGCAGGAGGAGCAGGACACAAGGCACTGGTAGTGTTGCTCCCAACAGCAGCAGCAGGAGAAGAAGGCGGAGGTGAGGGAGAGCCAGCAGCAGGCGGAGCATGTGCAGCAGCATGTAGCAGCGGGTGGGTAGCCCTTCTGCCCCGGTGATCAGAGTGGAGGGAAGAGCGTAGGCTATGCAAGATGGACGAGGCCCGCTGCAGCCACTGCTTCCTCTCCACCACCTTTCCTCCTCCCCCATCCCTCGTCCCCTCCCTCGTCCCCTCGCTCACCACCACCATCCCTCCACAACCTCTCACCCGGCCTGCCTCAGCCTCTACTCCATTCCCACTCTTGCCTGCTGCAAGACTGTTCCTGCCCTGCCAATTCTCACCGCCAGCTTGCAGTGTCCTCCACGCTTCACCACCATCCAGCTGACCGTCTTCCTCGTTCTCACTCACCCTCTCTACCACACCCCTCCACTCTCTGCCCTTCCCAGCAACAGCATTCCTCCCTCTCGCTTGCTGCCTTTCCAGCTCCTCCTCCTTCTGCCTCAACGTCTCCCTCTCCAACGCTACCTGCCTCTCTCTCTCCCTCACCCTTGCTCGCAGCCTCGCAACCTCCTCTGTAATCTGCTGCTGCCTCCGTTGCTCCTGTGCTGCTTCCCCATCCTTCTCTTCCTTCCCTGCTCCACTCTGCGCCCCCCCCTCAGTCTCATCACCAGCCGCTCCTTCATCTCTCTCCCTCACTCTCAACAATTTTTCCTCCTCTTCCTCCTCCTCATCCTCATCCTCCTCATCCTCTTCCTCCTCCTCTTCTTCCTCCTCTTCTTCCTCCTCTTCTTCCTCCTCTTCCTCCTCCTCTTCCTCCTCCTCTTCCTCCTCTTCCTCCTCTTCCTCCTCTTCCTCCTCTTCCTCCTCTTCCTCTTCCTCCTCCTCTTCTTCCTCTTCTTCCTCTTCCTCCTCCTCTTCCTCCCCTTCCTCCTCCTCTTCCTCCCCTTCCTCCTCTTCCTCCTCTTCCTCCCCTTCCTCCTCCTCTTCCTCCCCTTCCTCCCCTTCCTCCTCCTCTTCCTCCCCTTCCTCCCCGTCTTCCTCCCCTTCCTCCCCGTCTTCCTCTTCCTGCTCCAATGCCTCTTTCTCTTCTCCCTCTTCCTCTTCCTCATCCTCTTCCTCTTCCTCTTCTTCCTCCTCCTCCTCCTCCTCCTCCTCCTCCTCCTCCTCCTCCTCCTCCTCCTCCTCCTCCTCCTCCTCCTCCTCCTCCTCCTCCTCCTCCTCCTCCTCCCTCCCTGCATATTCCACTTCATCTTCATTTTCACACTCCTCTTCCCCGTCTACCTCTTCCTTTGACACGTTCTCCCCTTGCTCCTCTTCCTCACTCTCTCTCTCCTCCTCATGCTCCTCATATTCGTAGTGATCCTCCTCTTCCTCTTCGTCCTCCTCATCCTCATCCTGCCCCACCGCATCTACCTCTGCTTCCACATCGTCATCCTGGCATCTCAATCCGCCTCTCCCCTCACCATCTCCCATCACCTCCACATCGCCATCCCATTCTCCTCCTCCTCCCACACCCACCTCCTCCTCTCTCCCCTCTACCTCTCGCTCAAAACCGCACTCCACCGGCTTCAACTCATCCCCAGCACCACCTCCCCCCTCTTCACAATCCCTCTGCGAGCCCTCACATGCACCCAGAGCCAACCGTTTACATCCCTCCATTTTAGTCGACTCAAAAGTCCCCTCACATGCACCCAGAGCCAACCGTTTACATCCCTCCATTTTACCACCTGCCTCCTCTCCCACCTCCCCAAGCAGCACCTTCCTGGAAGCTCCCACCTGCATGAGCTCCAGAACTGCTTGAATCACCCGCAGCGTGTCACTCCCTGCTGCCGCCTCCTCCCCTTCCCCTACCTCTCCGTTCTCCTCACCGTCTGAACCAGCCCAGTAACCTCCACTCGCAGCACTGTAACCGCCTGCACTTGTGGCAAGGGCGCTGCTGCTTTTGAACGCAACCAGACTCGTGCTGCTGCTGTGAGAGCCAACTCCACTTCCCTCTCCCCCCTCCCATCCCTCACCTCTATCTCCTCCATACAAACCCCCTTCTCCTGCACCCCTCCCGGTCTCTCCCATACCAACCCCAGGTAACAACCCCCCACCACCCCTCCCAAACCCCATCAGCACCGCTCCTCTTCCTCTCCCCAGCCCTCCTCCCTCCCCCCCTCGCCCCTCTACTCCTCCCCACGCTCCTCGCCCCACTCCTCCTGTATGCGCCAGGCGCGGGTTAACAGCAGCTCTGAGGCGCATCACGGCCTGCACCCACTGCTGCCTCTCCTCCACCTGCGCCCCTCTCTCCCGCCCTCTCCTCTGCCGCTCCACCTGCACCTGCTGCTTCAGACCTGCGCTCACATGCTCCCTGACTGCGGTTGACTGCGATAGCTGGTGGTTCATTTTATAGTGGAAAAAGGGGAAGAGAGGGTGAGGAAAGGGGGAGGAGGGGAAGGAAGACTTTGTGGTTAACTCAAAAATCACATTGCTTGAATGCTCCTGCCGTGTGGCTGACTGCAACAGCTAGCGGGCCATTTCGATGGGTAAAATAATAACAGAAACGAAAGGGGGAAGGTGGTGGGCGGTGGATGGGGAGGAGGGGAAGGGGGGCGGTGGGAGGAGTGGAGGGAAGATGGGACGGAGAGATGCGGAGAGAGGGAGCGCGGGAGAAGAGGGTTGGGTTAGGGTAGTGCTGGCGCTCACCTGTCGCCTGAGCGCCCCCACCTCCGCCTCTGCACGTCTCGAACCGGTTACCACCGTGATTTTTACACAAGATTTTTTTTACAAAGTACTACTGACATTCACCAGGTGTTGAACCAAAGTTGCTGCCACGTATTATCTCAATGGCGCCTAACTGGTGTCCACTTCAGCTCACCTGTCGCCTGAGCGCCCCCACCTCCACCTCTGCACGTCTGGCCTTCATCTCCCACGCCTCCTGCTGCATGCTTGCACTCTCCAGGGACTCGCCCAGCTAATAACGGGGATATGGGGATGGGAGCGTGGAGGCGAGAGGAGTGGCGAGCGCAACGGGCGGAAGGGGAACTATGAAGAAAAGGCGAGCAGGGGTTGGGTGGCGCTTAGAAGAGTGAACAAAAGAAAGGAACGAGCAATTAGGCATTTGCCTAGGAGTTGTTTGGGGAACATTGTCACTGTGGGCAAGAAGTGACTTTTGAGTCGACTCGTAAGGAGTTGTTTGGGGAACGTTGTCACTGTGGGCAAGAGAGGCGTGGAGGCGCCTTAGCCGTGCTGCATAAGGCCATTTCAACTCCTCCATGGGCTCGTTTCAACTCCTCCATGGGCTCATTTCAACTCCTCCATGGGCTCGTTTCAACTCCTCCATGGGCTCATTTCAACTCCTCCATGGGCTCATTTCAACTCCTCCATGGGCTCACCTCAGTAATGCACTCAGTTGCATCATCCGCAGTAACAGGTGCTGCGGCCTTTATCCTTGCTGTTGCTACTTCTGCTGTCAGCCCTGGCTCGACCAATCGTGTTGCGCCTTCAGGAACCTGTGTTGCCGGTGGTGCCAGTGGTGGTGCCGGTGATGGCGGCAGCAGCAGCACCGGCAGCAGAGTCCGTGGCACCACTGCCCCCTCGAGGGCAGCTACTGCATCACCATGCACACACTCACGCCCATCCCCCCAGTCCGCATCACGGAGGCTCACCACAGGAGAAGCCTCAGGGACAGCGAGAGGGTGCAACGAACGAGCAGTGCAATTGCTTCTGCGACCATCGTACTCTATACTCTCAACCGTTTCAGTCGACCCGGAACGTGAGTCTGTGATCTCCCCCCCTCCTTCCCCACTCGCCCGGTCCGACTCTGTGCTGCTGGTGCCCTCGCCACTCCAGCCACCACCACCATAGTTATGCCTCCACCCATCGTCCTTTCCCCCATCAACATCAGCATCAGCACCAGCATCAGTATCAGTATCAGCATCAGCATGAGCGTCGGTGGAATTCAATGAGCCCAACAGCTCCATTCCTCCCTCTAATCTAATGGTCATTTTGCCCTCTGCCACTTCTCTACCACTCGCTCCACTCCCTCTCATCATCGCCAGCAACCCTTCCCCATCTTCCTCCCCTTCCTCCTCCTCTTCCCCCTCCTCTTCCTGCTGCCCCTCTTCCTCCTCATCCTCGTCCTCCTCTCGATCCACCTCCTTCCATTCCTCCACAGCTTTCCCCTCTATCCCTCCCGCCTCCCACCCCTCCAGCCTCTCACCCTCCTCCCCTCCACCCTCCTGCGCCTCCTGCTGCCGTGCTGCAACCTCCCTCACTCCCACCGCACACTCCTCCCGCCTCCTCTTCCTGCCACCCACGCACCCCTCACTGCGACCAGGTTCAGGCCGTGCTTCTGAAGGCAGTGAACGCTGTGGGGAGAGGTGAGCAGCAGTGAGTGGGTGTTGAACAGAAACGGAGCAGAGGTCTCGAGCCCAATCATCACCCCCCTGCCTCCCTGCTGTGCCGTACTCTCCGTCTCGTGCCCCCATGCCATCTCGTGCCGCCGCTGCTGCTGTCAACTGCGTTTGGCTTGCAGCCTCATGCCCGTCCCGAATCTCATTCTGTCCTTCTTCCTTCGATTCTTCCTCCGCCTCCTTCTCTTCCTGCTCCCCATCCTCCGTTTCCTCTTCCCTTTGCGTCATTCCCTCCTCCCCATCCTTTTCCCCCTTCCTTCCCTTCCGCACCTCCCTATCCTCCTCTCCCCGCTCCCTACTGTCTCCCTTTCCCTCCTCGTTCCCTTCCCTCTCGTCTCCTCCTCGCTCGTCTCCTCCTCTCTCCTCTTCCACTTCGCTCTCTCCTTCCGGACCCTCCAAATCCACCGCATCTCCTCTCCCCTGGCCCCCTTCCTCCTCCCCCTCCGCCTCCCTCTCCTCCTCTTCCTCATCATAAGACCTCCCCCCATCACGGCTATCACCGAATGCCACACCCATTTCCTCCTCATCCGCAGCTTCGCCCTCCCCTATCCCCACCTCTCTTCCAGTGCCCCCAAAGTCGAACCCATCACCTCCACCATATTCTCCTCCACCCCCCTCACTCGCTTCATCCTCCCACTCCTCCTCCTCCTCCCTAAACAAGCATACCTTTCCAGTTGTCTCGTCTCCGTCTAAAACCACGTGTCTCCCCCTTGTTTCCCAGACTCCTCCTACCCCTCTCACTCCCCCCAGCAGCATGTCCCCGTCACCGCCACCGGCAGCAGCAGCAGCAGTAGCAGCACCAGCGCTGGCACTAGCAACAGCGCCATCGTCCTCTTCCTCTTCCACGTCAGCAGCAGAGGATGCCACGTCAAGAGCGACCATGTCCAGCCTGGCAAGGTCCAGCCCCGGTTCAATGAGCACGTGAGACGATGGCCCCATCGCATCCTCCTCCTCATCCGCATTGCTCTGCGAAAACGCATCCTCCCCTGCTTCACCTGCACCCATACCCATGCCCATGCCCATGCCCATCCCCGTACCGATCCCCATCCCCATGCCCACGCCCAAGCCCATGCCTGCACCCATGTGCCCAGCCTCCGACACGGCTTCTCTGTCTCTGTCTCGGTCTCTTTCTCTGTCTCTGTCTCGGTCTGCCGCCCCCCTGCGTGCGCGCATCTTGGCCAGGCGTGTGAGGCCATTCCACCCACCGAACGCCGCTGCTGCAGCCACCATTCCACTGCCCAGCCCCGACCACATGCCGTCCGTGCCCCTTCCTGACTCGTCCCTTTTCGTCTCCTCTTCCCCTCCTGCTGCTGCCACCGCCGCTCCACCCTCTCCTCCTCTCTCTGCTCCTCCCTCTCCACCTCCCTCTCCACCTCCCTCTCCACCTCCCTCTCCATCTCCATCTCCTCCCTCTCCTCTCCTTTCTCCACTATCCTCTCCATTACCAATCATCTGCCTTTGCCCCAACCCACCACGCACCTCCCGTTCCCCTCCCTTCCCACCCGTCAAACTCTCACCACCTGCTTCTCTGCTCTCCTCCGCACTACTCACCAGTACCACTGACATCACCCCATCGTCTCCCCTTGCTCCTATTTCTCCGCCCTCGCCTCTGCTGCCTCTCTCGCTCATCCCCGTCTCCCCCGTCTCATCCCCCTCCGCCTTCGCCCTCACCTCCCCCCATGTGCACTCCTCCTCAATCGCTTGCACCTCTGCTTCACCCTTTTCCTCCCGCCGCACTGGTTTCTCCCCTTCCCCAATGTCCTCTCCGCCCTCCGCACCACCCTTCCCCCCACCCGCGTCTAGCCGGCTCTCACCCCAGAGCCTCCTGTCATCTCCCTCTTCCACACCTTCCTCCTCCCTTTCCCCGTCCCCTTCCTCCTCCAATCCCTCCCCTTCCCCCATCCCCTCGCCCTCCCCCTCCGCCTCTCGCTCCCCCTCCTCCTCCCCCTGCCTCTCCCCCGCTAGTACGTCCGCCTCCTCTGCAAGCAATTCACTTCCCGCGTCTCCGCCGTCCGCGCACGCGCCCCTTGCGCCGCTGCCCCCCCACGCCCACCCGAACAGGCGAGGGGAGGACGAGGGGTCGCGGACCAGCGATAGGGGGAAGGCGAACGGTCCCTGCATGGAGGAGGGTAAAAAGGGGGGAAGGGAAGGTCGGAAAGGAGGGGGGAGGCGGGATAGCGGTGGGAGGAGGGGGAGGGAAAGGGGAGGGAATGGGGAGTGAAAGAAGAAAGAAAGGTAAAGTAAAGGGGAGGGAAATGGGAGGGAAAGGGGAGGGAAGTGGGAGGAAAATGAGAGGGGGAAGACGGGGAAAAAACAAAGAAACAGATGTAAAGGAGAAGCAAGGGAAGAAGGGGTAATCAAGGCATGCAGTCTGTGCCTGCGTGCGTGTGCGTGTGTGCGCTGGGGTGTGCAGTGCAAGCCTTAGCATGATCGCAGCACCGTTCCTCTCTCACCTCTAACGATGACGTCACACTCGCAACTCCCTGACTCCCACCATCCCACTCCTGCCCCGCGCTTCCCCTCCCCCTCCCCCCGCCATCTCCGGAATCCCACACGCTCCCCGCGCCCCTGAACCACCCCGCAAGCCCCCATTCCGCGCTCGCCCCTAACCGCAAGAGCTCCCCCGCCAATCCCTCCGCCTTCCCCTCGCCTCCACCTCCGCTTTCCCCTTCGCTGCATCCTCCGCCTTCCTCTTCGGCCTCCGTTCCGCCACCCACTCCGCCTCCCTCTCCGCCTTCCCCTCCGCCTTCCCCTCCGCCTTCCCCTGCGTCGCCTGAGTCATTTCTTGCGTCGCTTGTGTCACCCGTGGTTTCATCCCCCACAGCAACACCGTCGTTACCACTGCCATCCACAGGGGCAACAGTCGTAGCACCAGCGGTAGTAGCGCCAGCACCACCACCACCACCACCGCCGCCGCCGCCGCCGCCACCGCCACCGTCGCCAGCGCCACTGCCGCCGTCATCCCCTTCAGCTGCTACTGCTGCTGCGGCTGCGATAAGTCCGCTCACGCACCCCCCTTCGTCGTCGCTCTCCTGCCCAGTGGCAGAAAGTGGGCGTGGAGGCGGCGGGGAGGCGCGCGGAGAGAAAGCCGCGGACAGAGCGGAGATGGGGGCTAAGGGGAACGCGGAGTTTATGGGGAAGCCGAGGCTTGAGGGGAAGGCGGAAACGAGGGGATCTTCGTGGGGAATGAAGGAAACAGCGGGTGGTATAGGGTCCGCGGAAGGGACGGGGCTAGTGGGGGAGGAGGTGGAGGGGCTGGGGGCGGCGGAAGGCAAGAGGGGGATATCATCGGGGGATTCGGGGCATGCGAGGAGGACGGGGAAGGCGAATGGTGCGTCAATGACTGCGGGCGGCGGTGCAGATGAGCTGCTATCGTGGTGTGCTCTGATCGAATTGCCTGAGGTGCTGTTGGTGGTGGTGACGGTGGTGCTACTGGTGGTGGTGGTGGTGGGTTTTGTGTCATGGCACCTCACCAATCCCCTCCTCGCATCACACCTCTCACCTAGCCACGAACCCTTCTCCCCATCTCCCTCCTCCCCCTCTCCCTCCTCCTCTCCCTCCTCCTCTCCCTCCTCCTCCTCCTCCGCCGCCTCCTCCTCCCCCTTCTCCCCTTCCCCTTCCCCCTCATACCATGTCGCGGACTGACCCTCACCCTTCCCACCATCCTCCCCCCCAAACTGCCGCCCATCCTGCATCTCACTATCCTCCCTCTCATTCGCCCCTCCACCCCCCTTATCTTCTATCACCTCATCCCTCCCTGCCCCTGCCCCTTCCCCTGCTCCTGCCCCTGCCCCTGCCCCTGCCCCTGCCCCTGCCCCTGCCCCTGCCCCTGCCCCTGCCCCTGCCCCCGCCTCTATCCCCGCCTCTTCAGCAACCGCATCCTGCTCGCTCTCCGCGCTGCCCTCCTCCCCCGCGCCGAACATGGGGTTCACCCACCTCACCGTGCGCACGCCGGCGGGCATCGCGCTACCACCGCCCGCGACCTGCTGCTGTCCGCCCAGCGGCGCGGGGAAGCGGACGGGAGAGAGCGACTTTTGAGGCGTGTCAAGTGTCACTGGCGCCGGGAAGCGCCCGGGAGCGGGCGGAAGGCGCGCGGTTGAAGCTGCCTCATGCGGGGCTGTTTCCGCCAGCAGAGGCGGAAGGGGAGGGGGAGGAAGCGAGGACAGAGAGGGCATGAAGGGAAGGGGGGTTGTCGGGTGGCGTGGTGGAGGGGAGCCAGATGCGGGGCGGGAGGAAAACGCAGCGACGGAGGATGGCGTAGTGCCGGAAGGAGGGAGAGATGGAAGGGGAGGGGACGCCGGAGCGGCATCTGGTCGACACAGCAAGCCGCGCGCCGTGGGGTTCGCGGTGCCTGCAGGTGTTGCTGCGGAGCTCGACGGTTGATCAGGGAAGAAACCCGTCGCGAGACTCTTAGTATTCTTACGATCAGCATCGTCCGTCAACTTCCTTCCGCCGTAGTGGCAGCTGCTGCCGCCGGCACTCAGCCCACCGTTACCGCAAGCGCGTCCTCATCCGGCGCAGCAGTCGGAGCTAGCGCCCCCGCGGCCGCCCTCGCCACCGCGGAGACGCCACTGGCGGAGTCATCTCCGCGTCTCGCATGCCGCGGGCCCGCGCCGGCGCTTTCGCCCGACGCTGCCGCCGCGGCGGCGCTCGCCGGAGCTACTAGTAACGATGATGCGGTCCCTCCTGATACCGCAGAAACGGAAGGAGCATGTCCTTGCGTGACCAGCGGAGAGATAGTGGAAGCGGCGGTGGGTGCTGTCGACGTGGGTCCGTGAGTGCTGGAGTGGTCTATTGCAGACTTTGACTGAGGCGCCCCATGGGCCGCAGCGACAGCCGCATTCGCAGTCGCAGTCGCAGTCGCAGTCGCAGTCGCAGTCGCAGTCGCAGTCGCAGAAGGCTTGGCAGCGGAAGCGGCAGCGGCGACGACTTGCACCTTCTCCTTCAGCTCCCGCAGACGCGCGAGGCGGGAGATGACAGAAGGCCGCTGCGGCGTGGACGTGTGTGCCGTGTCCGCGTCCACGGCCATAGCATCTAGCTCCTCTTCCCCCTTAAATCCCGCTTAGTCCACGCGATTAATTTGACCCCTTAGCTCCCCACTTCTTAGATCCCGCTTAGATCACACGACAGGGGAGGATTGGGGGCGGTAACTCGACTAGATGGACCCCACTCCCCACCCCTTCCTCCTTAAATTCCGCTTCTGTGCTCGCGTGGCGGAGTCAGTGACTGGTCGAGAGGGCGGGTGTTCAGGGTCGGCTGTTCTTGAACAATATTGCATCAAGTCGGTCGGTAGCGGGCAGCGTATAGCCTTCGACTAGACAGTGGCTATCGGGCGCGATTTTATAATGAACGGAATGCGTGCGGACTTAGAATTTTATTTGAGAGGCTGGCAGTCGTCACGAATCAGTCTGAGGTAAGCGCATGCGAGGTGATTGTTTTACTGGCTTCTTCTGTTAACTAGCGCGCCTTTCACGAACCTAGGACTATCTCTTCTGTGTCCACCAACGGATAAAGCCACAGCTTTTCGAGAGAAGATGCTATCGGAAAGTCGCGTACGGAAAGGATAGGGAAGGAGTTCGGTCGACTCCAAGGTTGACCAGGACACGGGCTGAAATGGGCTGTGCAGCGCAATTTTGTTGCGGCTCGATTTGGTCCTTGACAAGCGAGGTGTGGTTTGGGGGGGGGCGGCAGGGCAGAGCAACTGCAATCTACAACATTCTGGTGTGATTTCTCGGATTCCAACTTCCAATGTTGAGAAAAGTGCGCTCCGTGACGCCACCTCTCGCGTCGCGAGAGCTGGTAAACCACTTCCCCGGCAATGCACGCCTCTCTGCCGCTAGCTGTTGGGGGAGAATTTTCGAGCCGCGTATGAGGACCCGTTTGAGAAAGGCAACAGCCACAGGTTTCCTACTTCGGCTCGTCGGAAAGTCTCGGACGACTGCTGAAATATACGGACGTTCGTCTGGTACTTTGTTAATGTCCAGCTGTAGGGGCAAAATATGAATCTTTGTGTCGAGAAATGAACTTCATACGGCAACGACGAGAACGAGCTTTCCAATCTTCCAGAACTAACGGCCCCACAAACCTGGTTTTTGGCGGCCACTTGAATGGGCAGTTAAACATAAATCGTGATAAAGAATTTGCATGGAGTGTAACTTAGGCTGTATAAATAAAGTAGCACTAGGGAAAAAAATATGGAATGTAAGTGGTGTGATTCTTTTTCCCGTCGTCGTACTTGGATCCTCAGACGCTACCCTGCATGCAATAACATGTGCTTAGTAGTTCGTGATGGTAATAAACACGGTACATCCAAATCCAAAAGAGCTTAACATTTTTAACTTTCCAGAATTCCTGGAACATTCTCTGGAAAAAAATGTTTTCTCGGCGTATTTATTACAGCACGATCAATATGGATGAATATTTAAATCTTCACTAATGATTGATTTTTGTATGTATATCAACCACTACATGTAACATCCCCTGTTTCGGAAGGCTGGGGAGCATACCGTACTAGGGAGTACAATTTCCTTCTCAACTGAAGATCCCAGCGGAATCAGGTCGACGGACCCGAGTTGCCAGGGTCGACGAGGGGGGTCGACGGACAGGGGTCTGACGAGGCGGGCGAGTGACGCGCGTGCGGGCCCGCCAGCCTGGCCCTGGGCTGGGCCGGGCGCACGACCGCCGCCCCGCAACCCCCCCCCCGAGAGTGAACAGCGACCCACGTTACCGGGTGGGGGCGGCGAGCTGGCGAGACCTCGGGCGAGGGAAAGTAACCCTGCCGCGAAGGCAGCCCACCCCTCCCTCCTGCCCGCGAGGCCCTAGTAACCCATCGCGGCCTGCCCGTACGGGCAGGCGAGGTCCACGCGAAATTCGGGGGCTCCCCTCGGGTCGCTCGACTATTTCGCGACCCGTTGCGGTGACGCCACGTGCTCGCCCGTCATTTCGCATCGCGTGCATGAGACATTTCGTACCCCCCGAAATTCGAGCGAAAACTGGGTCGTTCGCCACGGGGCGCATGGCTTTCGCGACCCTCTGCGAAATCGACACGTGGTGCCGAAACGTCGCACCGCGCCCACGCGAAGTTGCGTCCCCTGGCCGACCGAGGCCGGGGCACGTGACGTCGACCTGTTGGCTCGGCGGCGAGGGTGCACTTGTGCCACGCAACTTGTGCACGAGCCCTGCCGAGCCAGGCATCACGGCCCCCTGGGCGACGCTCAACCGGGCCTGCGTGGCTCCGCCTGGCTTTTCTTCGGGTGGAGGTGGACTGGCCCCTCATTTTCGCGTTCTCGTTTCTCTTTCATTTTTCCTCCCACCTCGGCGCCTTCCATACTCCCACCGTTTCTTCCCTTAGCCTGTAGCATAGCATCCTCGCTCTCCCGCCATGGCAGCCGGCCAGATTGCCGCCGAAGCGGCGCCGACCTCGCTAGATTTCCCCCTGCATCTAGACATCGGTAGAGGACACACGGCCAAGTTCGAAGAGCACGACTACGCCGTTCTGACAAACCCTATGCTAGAGTTTAACGCCCGTTGCTTGGGACTCGGTCTCAAGTGAGTGTCTTAAAGAGATGTCGTCGTCGACGGGCCTATTCCATGCTGGTCGGCCATGGCGGGGTTTCAATGCGTCCAGTAGTATATGTCGACGGGCTTAGAGTTCAGGCACATCACATCGGTGATGCCGACGTTATGCGTTAGGTCGTCGACGACGCTGAGTTGTGCCGAAGTCGTTCGGCTCCCGTCATTCCACCGTCGTGCCGCGCACCTATACCTCTCTAATTTGTTGTAATCATGCATGCGTGCAGGCACGCATGGATCCGCTCAACGGATGCAGGCGAGCGATTGTGGTCGATAGGAGTCGGCCGGCTTCGGGCGGCAATGGGTCAGGACGACCACACATGCTTTGCGACGATTTTCGACACCGACGTGGCGGTTATCCCACTGATATCGAGGTGAGCAGGTTCGAGGTCCTGCTGTGTGCTGCAACCTGTGTCGGTGATTTGTTCTGAGCGCCATCGACGTGCCTTGTCTGTGCAGCATCGCACCGCTTCCGGGAGCACATTGCAGCGTCGTTCTCATCCTGTGCCCCGGCGATTTGTTCAATGCCTCGGGGCAGGAGGTCAGGACCTCGATCCGGCACGCCGACCCGCAGACAGTGAAGGAGTGGCACCGCGACGAGGCGATCCGCGTGCTGAAGTGAGCTCGATAGTTTAGTCGACATCGCATACATTGTCGACACGGCGCGTGCACCGTGCTAACCGACCGTCCTTGCCGTGCTTTTGCAGGTTTTTCCGGACCGCTGTTCTGGCCGAGCTGCGGCGCGAGGGTAGGAAATGGGAGTGGGCGAAGCCGTCCGAAGACGAGGTGCAGGAGAGGCTCGCCGACTGCGACGAACCCCTTCGAGATGTGAGTTGCGGACGATTCGCCGTCATATGGTGTCACATCTACGCCGCCCTCATCCTTGCTCTCTGCACTGTTGAATGCAGAAAATTCCCGATACCGTCCGGGACTCGGACGCGGGCTCCGGCCTGCTAGCAATGAGCGCGTTGATCTGGGTTGTGAGGCGGTTCCAGCGCCTGACCGGCGACCTCCGTCGCATTGCCACCAGCATGGACAAGCCCACCGTCTCGGGGTTGAAGGCGCTGCGGAACGAGATGGTAGCCCTCATCAAGAAGCAAGTCCCGCTCATACGGTCGGGGAAAACCGTTGTTGCTGCCGACGCCTGTGACGACGACGGCGAGGAAGTCCATTCTGCATCCGTACCAGTAGGGGTCGCCCCGAACGTCGCTGATGCGCGTGGCAAGTCGGGAGTCGGCGTCGACGAGGCCGATGCGGCCGCAGGAAAGGGGGTGACCGGGACTGAGGTTGTTCACGGGGATGATGATGGGGTCCAGGATCGCGAGGAGGAACGTGAGGGTGAGGGGGGCTCGGAGGAGTCGTCGGGGTCGAGGTCGGGGTCGGGATCGGGCTCGGAGTCGGAGTCGGAGTCGGAGGAGGAGCAGGAGCAGGAGACGCAGGAGTACGAGAGGCAGCACCAGGAGGAGCAGTTGGTAGAGGTGGAGGACGTGGAAATAGCGGAGGGGTACGTTGTCGGAGGAGCGGAGGGGTACGTTGTCGGAGGAGCGGAGGAAACGGGTGGGAGATCGGCGGATGTCGAGAACGACGAAGGGGAGGGGAAGGGCGCGACAGCGAATATCGGCGATGTCGGCGTGGAGGCGGCTCACGGAGGTGGTGGCATGGTCGAGGTCGGTGAAGGGGATAACGCCGCGGTCCCGGAGCAGAGGGGCGTGGATGTGCATACCGATGCCACCGCGGAGAAGGCCGGCGGGGAGCGGTCTAGGAGGAAGAAGGCGGCGAGCGGTCATCCCGGTTCCACCGCGGCAAGGCGGCAGGCGCGGCTGGACGTCGTCGATCAGCTGAGGGCGGAGAACAGGCGATTGCGTGCAGACAATGCACTCCTTGAACGGCGGCTCGGTGAGCAGACGGGGCGGGTCGACAGCTTGGCGGCGGCATTAGCTGGGCTCCTCGAGAAGGTGAAGGGTTTGACCGCCCAGGTCGCCGACAGCGACCGGAAATCGGAGGAGCGCCTCAAAGAGGCCACTTCGATCATGGCGACCACAATCACCGAGGGCCTCACCGACAACATGGACAGCGCCATTCAATCGGCCAAGTCCTTCGCCGAGCTAGCGAGGCAGACGCTGCTGGATCTTGACGACCCCAAGGGACGAGCGGCGGTCGCACGCGCGACCGCGGTGAAGACAGTGACCGAGCACGTGACGGCGGAGGTGGGCGAGGCGAGGAAGGGGTTGGAGGAGTCGTTCATCAAATACATCGGCGCCGCGCAGACCAACATTGCCGCCGCCGTCGCGCCCCGCCTAGTCCAGCAGCCGCCGCCTACCGGCCCAGCGCAGGCCTTGCCGGAAGACTTCCTGAAGTCTTTCAAGGAGGACGTGCTGAAGGCGGTGACGGAGACCACGCAGCAGTCCTTCCTCGCCTCCGGACTGAAGATCATGACCGAGGTCGTCGGTACGGTGGCGAATGCTCGGCGTGGGTCGTCGCCGTCGGCAAACGACGCCGGCCAAGCGCAACCTACGGAGGGCTTGAAGCTGGGTCACAAGAGGCGGGGAGGCGGCGGGGGGGGCGACGGGGACATTTCGGCGAACACGAAGCGGAGCAAGGGAGGCGGGGGGTCTGGCGGCGGGGGGGGGGGACGGAGACGATTCGGCGGGCGCGAGGCGGACCAAGGGAGCGGCTGGGTCTCGCGTCGCCGGCGATGGGAGCATGGGAGCCGGCGACGGCAGTTCGTTGAAGCAGTCGGGGAAGAGCGTTGTCGACATCCTCAGGAAGCACTGGGCTCAGGTTGGAGCGGCCAGCACAGGCCATGGTGGTGGGGGTCCCGCCGACGAGCATGCCACTGATGACGCACTGCCAATGGCTCCGCCTTCGGTCGGCGTTAAGGAGAAGGAGAAGGCCGCCGCCAAAACGGCCCCTGGCGGGTCCGCGAAAGCTGGCCAGGGCCCGAAGACAGGGGTTGCGGAGGCGTCAGCGGTTCCTCACCAGTCTCCCGCGGGTGCACGCCATCCGACCGGACCGTCTGCCGGGCGACCTACCGACGTCCCGCGCCATGCCGACGTACCGTCTGCCGTCAAGGTTGGCCGCGCGGGAAAAGGGGCGGCAGTTGCGGACGCGCTCAAGGAGCAGCTCAGGCTCCTAGCCGGCCACAGGGCTGTTCAACAGGCCCCCCCTGCTGTCGACGTCCCATCGGCCAGTGGGCCACGTTTAGTGCCGGTCGTCGCCGCCCGTACTCCTGCAGACCCAAAGTCCGCGTCCGCGTTGTTGCGCGCCCAGCTGGGCGCACTAGCGTCGACTGAGAGGACTCAGCAGGCTTCTGGCTCTGGCTCTAAGCCGTCGTCGGCGAATGTCACACCACCCACCCATGTGGCAGCTGATGTGGAGAAGACGGCGGAGAAGGGCGTTCGTGCCGCGCTTGCCACCGGCGGCGGCGCCGTTGAGGAGGTCCCCGCAGACGCTGATATCGCTGCCATACAGGCCCATCTGGATGCAGCCAATCCCCGAACCCTGGCCATCTCCGACACGGAACATGTGGAGCCTTCGGCGGGACTCGTCGGCATCGCGGCAGAGCCTAGTGCGACCGGTGATGCGGTCGGTGAGGGAAAGTCGAAACGGAAGGGGAAGGCGGGCTCACAGAGGAAGACGCGGGAGAAGTCGGAGGTGAAGGCGGCGGATAAACAGAAGGGGATGGCGGCGGAGACGGCGGCGGACAAAGATGGAGGCGGCATTGGGGAGGTTGAAGGGAAAGGGGAGAATCAGAAGTCGCCCGGCGAGGGTACGTCGACGGGGAGGAAGGGGAAGGACAAGTCGGTCGGAGAAGGTGCGTCGACCGGGAGAAAGGGGAAGGAGAAGGCGGTCGGCGAGGGTTCCTCGAAGGGGAGAAAGGGAAAGAGGAAGGCGGAGGAGGAGGATGAGGACGTCGAGGAGGTGGAGGAGGTCGAGCAGGAGGAAGAGGAGGAGGAGGAGGAGGAGGAGGAGGGGAAGGGCAAGGAGAGGAGGGGTCATGGCATCCGACACGATACCTCGGGCGACAAGCAAGGGTGGGTCGGCGAGATTAAGGTGCACGGCATCAATCGATACATCGGCAAGTCGCGGGACAAGATGGAGCTCGCGTACGTTCACTCCATCGCGTACGTCGTCTACGACGGTTTCGTGAGCAAGGTGCTCATGACCGAGCTCACCGGCTTGGACAGCGCCGAATTGGAGAGGTGGAAGGAGGTGTGGGAGGAGGTCAGGATCTTGCCGACAGGGATGTGGACGGTGATGTGGGCCCGGGGTACGCTCCTTCCAAAGACACGGTAAGTCGGCAATCCTCCGATTCAAAGTCGATGTCGTTGTCGTTGTCACTCATGTTCGCCCTGTTTGTGGTGGCGTGACAGGCTGACAGAGATCCTCGACGCGTATCGCCATTACAAGTCCACAGGCGATTGTCTCCACGCCGCGCTCCTGCCAGCGATATGGTACCCAGTCGATGTTAGCACCGAGGAAGGCCGGGCGAAGTCGGCGTCCATGATGTCGGCGATGATAGGCCGCGTGTCAATGTGCACTGCATATGGGAAGACCGCTGCGGCAGCGGCGAAGAAGGAGGGAGACAAGGAGGAGAAGACGGATATGGCGGCATGGGCGTTAGCAGCATCCGCATGCGCTGTGTGGTGCTTCGTCGAGAACGGCGATGCCCAGCTGGCGGATGCTGTGGAAGAAGGGAAGTCGGCGGCGATCATCGGCGGAGCGAGCCAGGCGACCGCCGATGTATTCGGAAAAGTCATGGAGGCGGTGCTGAAAGCCGAGATGAACAGGGACCGCCCCCTGGGAGAGGTTGCCTACAACGTCGCGCCAGCACTCCAGAGGACCGCCCTTGATAGGGTCTATCCGGGGGGGAATGCTGGAGAAGATGCCGACGTTATCGCTAGAGCGACGGTTGAGACGATGGCGTTTTGGGGAATGTGCCCCGTCGCCGGACCGAAACTAAGAGCGAGGGACATCGCGGTGCCGATTGACGCGCAGATGAAGGCCGATCTTGACAACAGCGGGAGGAAGGGTCTGAGGGGCAAGAAGGGGACGAAGACCAGGGGCGGCACGGAGAAGGGCAAGATGTCGAAGAAGGACAGCACGACGGCCTAGTCGACGGCCTGCTAAGATTGAGTGCTGCGTGGACTCGATGATGAAATGGTCGATATCGTTTTCCATGTTTTGGCTGTCGAATCCCTTTGATGCTCTTTGTTTGTGTTTTTTTTTTGTCCGTGCCTGTCTACTTTACGTAGGATGAGTAATGAACACATTAGCTAGTAATGATTGTCTACTTCAGTTTGAACGACACGTGAATGCCCCGCTAGGCCAAGAACAACAGGATCATTCTGAGAAACAAGAAGTCGACATCAGTATCAGTATGAAACATAGGCATGCTGCATCAACATCTACAACATGCAACAGGAGGCCTGGGAACATTCAAGCGGTTTTCTTGCGCTTGGTCGACTTATTGGTCGGAGGCAGCTGCCCGGCGTCGTTTTCGCGGGCCAGATCGGCCAACGTCTTCTTCATCTGCTCAACCCAGGTGTCCGGGAACAGGTCGGCGACCCACGTTTCGGGCTTGAACCCGCGCGCCACGAACGCACAGGCGACACGAAGCTTGGAAAATTCCGTCTTGCCGAGCCCTTTGACGCCCTTACCCTGCCCAGCATAGGTCGCTACGGCGTCCGCGTTGAGCACCGTGAGGGCATCCGCGAAGGTCCCAATGCCAGGCGCCGCTATCTTGTTAAGCGCGTCGACGGTGGCTTCCGTGTCGGCTTCGCCGTCGCTCCTGCGAAGCTGGCGCACCGCATCGATGACCTTCATCATGCGGCGCACCCTCGTCCCGTGTGCTCCCTGCGAGGTTCCGTCGAGGAGGGTGTGGCGGTCGACGAATCCCGGCTCCCTGAACCTGTCGCACAGACGACGGGTGTCGGCGCTGGTGCACGAGGTCCAGAGGCGCCACGCGTCCTTGACGGTCGTTGCAGTCCGCCAAGGCTGCACTACGTTCAGCTCGTAGCTAGCCTCCTCGACCGTCTGTGGGGGTTTATTGGGTTTGTTGGCTCCTCCACCCCTGCTTGCCGACTCCGCGGAGCCACCGTCGCTCGGCGACTGGTCGCTAGCAGCTGGCGGCGCCTCCGGCATCCTTCGAGCTTCTGAAACGCGGAGAGCCTCGGTGAGGCGTGTTATCTCGGCCGCGAGCGACGCGATGGTTGCATCGCGATTCTCGATCTTCTCCTCGAGGTCGAGCTTCTGGACCGTTGACCGCTCCCTCTCGAGCTTAAGCGTCTCCGTGAGGGAGACGACCGCGAACTGGGCGTCATGGCGGACCGATATCTCCTGCAATGGTATGCGAATAACGGTGCATATGAGGGGTTGTAGCGGTCATAGATAACATCGCGACGTCGGCATAAAAGATGACCTACCTCTGGCTGGATGAGGGTTGGATCTTGCCGCTTTTTTATGGTGTCGGTGTCGGTCTTCTCGACCCTCTTCGCCCAGTGCTGGAAGAGGGGAATCCGGCAGAGCTTGGAATACTGGATGTACGGGTGCCAAGGGGTGCGGACGAGTTTCACCGCGAGGTCCTCGGCGACAATGCGGCGGAACATCAGAAGGGTGCGCCAGAAATGCACGGCCGCAACGTCGGCGTCGGATCCCTTCTTCGCGAGTTCTTCTGCCTGCAGTTAGACATCAGACGTGGGTTATTTCCATGGTGGATAGGACAGTACCATGCAAGATTGGTCGGCACCGATAAACAAACCTTGTTGAGGAGGTCGTCGACGCCGGGGAAGATGTGCTCGGCGATGAGAGCGAGGAGTTCGTCTCCCGGTTCCACCCTACTGCGACCCAAGAAGTAGTCCTGCGTGAATCCCGAATAGCCGGCCTTCTTCATCACCACGCCGACGGGAATGGACGTGATGTAGGCTCGAGTCATCTTGTCGAGAGCCCAGTGACCCAGCTCGGCTATCTCGGCGCGAGGCGTACCTTGGATGGCCAACTCCTGCGCCCCGCCCGCCCGAGCGGCATGGACGTTCCGCTTGCAGAACACCCCGTTCGTCTTCCACATCTGCCTCGTCCATCGCTGGTGGCTGGGAGCTGAGAGTTCGCCCTGCTCGGGGTCGTTGCGGGCGAAGAACAGGTGCTTCTTGTACCAGAGCTCGCGTGTGCTGGTGTCGACCGGCGGAATGAGGTCGACGCCGTGAAACTGGCCGATCTGGTCGAGGACGAAGTGTAACCACAGCCCGGTCTCGCCGACGGCGCACAACTCCGCTTCGAGGTGCCGCGCCGCGTAGCTCTGTTGAAGACGCGCATCCTTAGACGTCTTCGAGTTCCGCGCGGCGACCACCATGACGACCGGCTGGTTATCCGGGTTCACCGACGAGGTGCTCGCCAGTCGGTACAGGAAGATGTCGGGGAGCGTTATCTCGCGTATGCTTGCACCGCGCATGAGGCTGTGGTGGGAGAGCAGCGTGAGCACCTTGATGAGAAGAAACCTCCACAGCGTCTGCGAAGGTGTGGTGAAATGCGGGCTCCATGCCGATGCCGCCCATGCCGGCAGCACCCTCGTCATTATCTGGCGGAACTGTTCGGCGGTGTATGTGTCGCCGATGGTGCCGCGTCGACGGTCGGCGCATTTACTGTCGACAGAACAATATATGGATATGAATATTAGGGCGAGGAACACAAATCGATGGCGACATAACACGGCGATGCATGCCAACTTACTCGAGGTCCCTCTGATTTTTGGTGCGGACCATGACCCGCACCTCCGACCGGACCACCGAGATTTCCCGCATGATGCCCAACTCCTTCTCCTTGTAGAGCGTCGCCTCCACCCTCGCCGCCATCTGGCAGGCCTTGATGCGGCCGAGGATCATGTGCACCGTGTAGGCTCGCACTGGCTCGTTCGTGTCGGCGTCGATCTTGTACTCCCGCCTCATGAACTTGATGTAGGCGCGCAGTCGCGTACTAGTGACCCGGGGGCCGTGCAGCCATATGTGCTTCCGCTTGACCACCTTCTCGTTGTCCCAATCCTTGCTCTTGTTGTTGTGTGTCCAGTGCCCTATCTCGTCGACGTGCCTCATTTGTTCTGCTGTCGGCAGTTTGTCGCCAATTTTTTTAAGCATCTTCGCCGTCCACCTTTTGTAGTCGTATATCCATGAGGTGTAGGACTTGAGCGTGCTCTTGGCCTCTATGGTTTTCAGGTGGCGCATTGCCTCCATCACGAGCACGTCGACGCACGCGTACACCATATCTTCCTCTACGAAGTCGGCCGCCTTCCACATTTCTCGAGGGACCGACGTGTGCAGCAGATCCTCAAGCTCGTTCTCGTCCAACAGTTCCTCTATAAACGCACGTTCCCCCCTGAGTTTTTCTTCCAACGTGCGCGGACCTGCACCACGTCGGGGCCGCGGGTCGTCTTCGTCGTCGTCGTCGCTCGCCGATGAATAATCGTCCTCATCCAGGTCGCCCGATCCGTCCGGCACAGACGACTGCCCGGCCTCCCCTGCATCCGTCGGCGTCGACGTTTTGCGTGGTTTCGTGAACTCCCCTATGGGCGCGGGCGGAACGTCCTTGGTGAACTCTCCCTGCGGGATTTGGGCCAGGGCGTCGAGATCGTATAGCAGCGGCAAAGTCGACGAGGGGTTACTGACCGGTGTACGGTCTACCGGGCGGACGTCCTCATCCTGGCTAGCGGGGTTCGGAACTTCCGTCATGTCGACATCGGCGGGGGGTGGGTTGGTTTGCGGCGGTGTCGAACGAGGCTGTCCTCTGGCCATGATTCGGCGACCTAGGGCGATGGGAAGTCGGCGTGGTGAGGTCGATAAACTACTTAATGCGTATTCTATGTCGGTGGTATCTGGCAGGTCGGGACAGCAGACAATCCTACGAGAGGTCGGCGACCACGTCTGCCTACTATCACGACGCCGACGTTACGCCTCTAGAGAAAATTCAAGTGCCGGCCGTCAAGTCAGTGGTGAAAAGAAAAAAAAAAGCAATGGCAGGCGGAATGAGCGACCATTTCGGGGACCACGGATGGGTATGGTCGTGAGCGACTCCGCACCACTTGGCGCTCCACGCAAACCCCAGTGCACGACGCTGCCATGCATGTACGCTCGTGCGGCGGCGCCGTGTCCGACGTGTCACCAGGCGTGCATGGCTGCTTGCTTGAAGCGCTTCGCTCATCATGCTCTTTTCGTGGCTGCTACACGCTGGCTCTTTCGTGCGGCAACGTGGCGTGGTCCCGAATTAGGTGCACCTCGGTAGGTCGAGGTCGGGAGACACTGCCGTGTGGCACCACGATGATGCTCTTCTGGTCGACGCCGACATTCCCGCATCATCAGTGTCCACTGCACGTAGCCATAGATAGTGGACGGCCGGATTTCTCCTTGCGCATGTGAGCAACCGTTGGATGAATGCCGTGTGGTATGCACCGACCTTGCCACGTTCATGCGCGAGATTCTCCCACGCGAAGCACCCCGACCTTCCGTTGGCCCGTCGTGTCCAACCTGGCAGACCTAGGTGGCCCCGCCATCCAGGGGACTATCTCGGGCGTCCCTTTGTGGCCGCGTGGCGATCATCGCGGCCCGACATTGCCGAGCTGGTATTCTGACACGCGGCTGAGACGTCCTTCTCGGGATTGTCTCAGCGGAACTCTAGGTCGACAGGTCGTCGACCATCCCGAGGGCTCACCAGCACCGGGCCCAGCCAGATAGGCTGGGCTTTCCACGCGGAGGTCGTCGTGGGGTCGTCAACCACGAGGAAGGGGGTTGTCCGTTCTGAACCGCGAAAATGGGCGGCAGTTTTCGTCGGCTGAGCTATACTATGCTAACCACCCCTCCCAGACCTCAACGAATTCCGCCCCTGGCCGGCATTCATGCACCTTCCCGAATCCCGTGCCCAGTCTGTGCCCCGTTGACCTAGCTTCTCACACGTGGTGTCATCATCGCCCTACCGCGAAATCCAAGACACAAGCACAAGTGCTTCACAAATTTTGATACGAAACTTGCTGCTTCCGTTCCGCGCGTCTTCCGGCCTGCATGACACCGACGACCCGAGGGTGAGGCTCGCTCAACAGCGCCACGCTCGGTTTCTTTAGGCGCCTCAAAATTATTTAGACTTGCGTAGCTGGGCCGCTCCCCTCTCGGCATGCCCTCGAGTGACCGCGAGGCGGAGGCCTCCCGCCTCGTCCCGTCGCCCCCCGACGATCCCTCAGAGGAAAGCAGCTTTGCCGGCGGCAGACCATCCGCGCACGAGCCGGCAGACGAGCCGGCAGACGAGGCGGCAGACGCGATGGAGGACGGCAGCAGTCTGCTGCGCAGCGACGGGGACTCGGCTGGAAGCGCGGGCGGCGGGCGTGGCGGAGGCGCATCCTCCTCGTCCTCTTCCTCCGCGCTCCCCGCGTCGTCGAGTCGCGCGCGCCGCCCCATGCAGGTGGAGCGGCACGACGACTTGGAGCCGCGGTCGCGCCTGTCGTCGCTGATAGACGCGGCGAAGCGCAACCGGCTGTCGTTCGCGGCGGTGGCGGCGGCCGCCGTGGTGCTCCTGGGCTGGATGCTCTCCGCGCTGCTCGCGGGCCTCCTCTCCCCACCCGCCTCCGACTCTTCAGGTACCAATCACTGCTGTCGCTGCGGCCGTTGCTGGCCGCTGCTGCTGCTGCTGCCCCAGCGGTCACTCTTAGTACATCTCACTCGTCCAAATCTCATGATATATAATATATTTTCACCCTCGAACAAACCTCAACTCAATCTATTTCCCGTCCCCTTCCTCCGACCCCTTTTTCCGCCCGCCTTCCCCCTTCCCACCACCCTTTTCCCCGTCCACCTTCTCTCCCCCCCTTATGGCCTCCGCCCCTCCCCGCATGCGTCGCGTGCTTATCCCTGCAGGCAGCAGAGTGTCGGCGGTAGCAGCGGCGTGGGGAGAGGAGGAGGAGGTGATGCGCGCGGCGGATGAGGGCGCGGGGAGCGCGGGGGGGCGGTGTGCGGTGAGTTCTTTGACCTGAACAGCGTGCAGGGGAAGCTGGAGGACGAAGAGAAGTGCGTGAGCGTGGGGGGTGCTGGGGTGACGGACAGGGAGGGTGTGAGGGGGGGGCGGGGGGGGGTGTGTGGGAGGGGGTGTGTGGGAGGGGGTGTGGGGAAGGGGGTGTGGGGGAGGGGGTGTGGGGGAGGGATTTGTGAGGGAGGGGTTGTGAGGAAGGGAGGATATGGGAGGGGGTGTGAGGGAGCGGGTCTGTGAGGGGGTGTGTGCGAGGGAAGAGAGAGGGGCGGAGAGAGCGAGTGAAGGAGAGAAAAGCATGTGAGGGGATGGGGGTGGGGGAAGGGAAGAAAAGGGTGAATGAATGGTCCCTCGCTCACACAGTCTCGCTTCTACAATCTCACCGATCGACTTCCACCCACTAACCCTTGCAAATGCCTTTTGCCACACCAGCTCACTGACCCTCCTACACCAGCTCACTGACCCTCCTACACCAGCTCACTGACCCTCCTACACCAGCTCACTGACCCTCCTACACCAGCTCACTGACCCTCCTACACCAGCTCACTGACCCTCCTACACCAGCTCACTGACCCTCCTACACCAGCTCACTGACCCTCCTACACCAGCTCACTGACCCTCCTACACCAGCTCACTGACCCTCCTACACCAGCTCACTGACCCTCCTACACCAGCTCACTGACCCTCCTACACCAGCTCACTGACCCTCCTACACCAGCTCACTGACCCTCCCACACCAGCTCACTGACCCTCCTACACCAGCTCACTGACCCTCCTAAACCATTCCCCTCCTCCCCTTCCCCCCCCCCCCAACCAACCCTCTCCCCCCCCTCTGCAACTCAACCCGTCGCCTGCCCCTCGCAGGCTGGTGACGTCATGGCAGCTGAGCTGGCAGCGGGCGGGGTGGGCACCCCAGGTGCTGCAGAAGAAGCATGCGGGGCGGCACCCGCTCTTCCCCAACCTGCAGCAGCGCGCCAAGGCGGGCAACTGGGTGAGTGAGTGAGTGAGTGAGAGTGAGAGAGAGTCGGCACATGGGATGGGATGGGACTTGGGTGTGTGAAATGAGGCAGTCCAGTACGGGAAGGAAGGACAAAATGGTTGCTGGCTGGCATGACGTATGACAGTCGAGTCGAGCCAGAGTCCAGTCGTCCTAGTCCGACTAGTCCTCCCTAGTCCTCACCCTCACCCTTACCCTACCCTCATAGTCCTCACCCCACGCCGTTCACCCTACCCTACCCTCCGCACACCCCACCCACTGGCGTCCCGCCCCCACACTCACCCATGCCATGCCCATCCATGCAGGAGTTCATGCGATGGCTCGCCATGGCAGTGTTGGGGGGCGGGCTTTACGCACACTACTCTGTCATCAACCTTCGTTCTGCCGCCGGCCCTCACCCCACACCCCTCACCCCACACCCCTCGCCCCACACCCCTCGCCCCACACCCCTCGCCCCACACCCCTCGCCCCACGCTCACTCCTTTCACTGCGTGCAGGAGTTCATGCGATGGCTCGCCATGGCAGTGTCAGGGGGAGGCCTGTACGCACACTACTCTGTCATCAACCTCGGCCTGCCGCCACCGCCCCGCTGCTTCCAGTCCGCACTCACCGCTTTCGGGGTATGTATGGGAGAAGCTGACTTGGGAGTCATCCCAACTCACAAGTCCTTCGGGCTATGGTATGGTATGGTATGGTATGGTATGTATATGAAGTGACAAGAACACGCCATGTGTATGGAAAGAACACGCAATTCCGCTTCGTCTTTACATGGATGATGGATGGGTATGGCATGGCAAGATCGCATCGTCATGTGATTCTTCCTTCTCCTTTGCTCTCTGGCTACCCATTTTTCCCAGTACTCACCTCAACCATCATGCGCGTGTGGTGTGTCCGGGAATCCTCAGGGGTTTTGGTTGGATGCACTTGCTGTGACTATTGAGGCGCCCCAAAAGTAGCCTCAGGGGCTTTGGTTGGATGCACTTGCCGTGTATCGAACCCCTTCCAGATCATTTCCATTCCATCTCACAGCATACATAGCCTCTCTCCGTTCCTGTAACTATCGCTCCCCATCTCCGTCTCCCTCTCCCTCCCCCTGTCCATCCCCTTCCCCCTCCCCTTCCCCTTCCCCCTCCCCTTCACCCTCCCCGTACCCTTCCCAACCCCCTGCTCCCAGGACTCCTCTACCCCATCACTAGTATCCGGCAGCCCGCACGACTTTGTGGCTCTCGCACGCTCCTCCCTGCTGCCGTCCGGTGCTGACCTGGCAGCCGCCCGAGGGCTCCCGGTGCCACGTGGCATCGTGCAAGTGGGCCAGAGCACAGCGAGATCGCTGCTTGTGCCAGGCTGGCTCAAGGTGCTGCTGCGGTTTGTCTGAAATTATGTTGATCGCTACTTGTTGCTTCAAGGTGTCTCGCTTCAGCTGCTGCCACTGCCACTGCCACTGCTGCTGTTGCTGCTCATCAATGTTGACCGATTTCTCCCTCCCTCACCTTCTCCCTTCCTCCCTCCCTCCCTCCCTCCCTCCCTCCCTCCCTCCCTCCCTCCCTCCCTCCCTCCCTCCCTCCCTCCCCTCCCTCCCTCCCTCCCTCCCTCCCTTCCTCCCTCCTGTTGTAATTTCATATTTCATACAACATACATAGGCTAGAAGTGTAGCACATTTTATAAATTGGGGGGTTGCTTAGTGTACCCTCCAACCACATTTTGTGGTTGGTTGGGATTGGTCCTTAGCTCAACCAATCCCAACCAACACACATTTGTGGTTGCTTGGGTCACAAGCAAGCTCACCCATTGGCCAACTTATTGGCCAATAGGGTAAGCTTCCCTCTCATCTCTCTCTTGCTCATTGTTTGTACAAAAGAACCTCTTGGCTCATTATTCAATGCATCAATTCTCTCACTTCTAACATGGTATCATGAGCTAATGGCTCACGCCTTCCTCCCTCGGTCCTTAGGCCACCCTCTCCTCCCCGTTCCTCAGATCTAGCCCCACCCACGGAGCTGCCCTCCCTTCACGCGCCCTTTAGGCGCTGTCCTCCCTCCCCGTGCGCCCCCTAAGGCGCTGCCCTCCAAGGCACGTCCAGATCTGCAACTCCAGCGCCCAGATCTGCAACTCCAGCGCCCAGATCTGCAACTCCAGCGCCCAGATCTGCAACTCCAGTGCCCAGATCTGCAACTCCAGCGCCCAGATCTGCACCTCCAGCGCCCAGATCTGCACCTCCAGCGCCCAGATCTGCACCTCCAGCGCCCAGATCTGCAACTCCAGCGCCCAGATCTGCACCTCCAGCGCCCAGATCTGCACCTCCAGCGCCCAGATCTGCAACTCCAGCGCCCAGATCTGCACCTCCAGCGCCCAGATCTGCACCTCCAGCGACCAGATCTACTGCTCCCGCGCCTAGATCTGATCATTCCGCGCCCAGATCTGGATTCCGCGCCACCAGATCTCCTCCTCCCGCACCCAGATCTGCACTCCGCCCGCCCAGATCCGCCCTCCACGCGCCCAGATCTGCCCTCCGCGCGCCCAGATTGCCCTCCGCGCGCCCAGATCTGCCCTCCGCGCGCCCAGATCTGCCCTCCGCGCGCCCAGATCTGCCCTCCGCGCGCCCAGATCTGCCCTCCGCGCGCCCAGATCTGCTCTCCGCGCGCCTAGATCTGCCCTCCGCGCGCCCAGATCTGCCCTCCGCGCGCCCAGATCTGCCCTCCGCGCGCCCAGATCAGCCCTCCGCGCGCCCAGATCTGGCCTCCGCGCGCCCAGATCTGGCCTCCGCGCGCCCAGATCTGCCCTCCGCGCGCCCAGATCTGTCCTCCGCGCGCCCAGATCTGCCCTCCGCGCGCCCAGATCTGCCCTCCGCGCGCCCAGATCTGCCCCTCCCCCATAGCATCGCCCTCCTTCTCCTCCACCCAACCCACCCTCCGCTCCTCCCTTCCTCCTCCCATCCTACCAGCAGCAGCACCAGCAGCGGCACCACCAGCAGCACCCTTCCCTCTTGCCTCCCCCATAGCATCGCCCTCCTCATCCACCGCCCTCCTCCTCCCATCCTACCTGCAGCAGGGCCAGCAGCAGCACTGGCAACGGTACCCTCACACCATCCTCCTCCTGCCCTAGCCTCTACCCACCCTCATCTCTATGGCATCGTCATCCGATTCTTCCGTCGACCTTGCCACTGTTGACGCACTCGAGTTGCTGCCTGACAACTCCGCTGCTAATTGGCACTCGTATGCTCATTCCGTTGAGGTGCTCCTCTCCTCTGTTGTGGTCAGCGGCTACAACAGGACGTTGCCACTCTTTACGCCCTTATCAAGGAGTTTGGAACTCTCTCCATGGATTCCACTTCTGGCTCAGCTGCTTTCACTCGCCGTGTCTTAGACCTTTCTCGGCGCCTTGCAGCACTCGATGTGGTGTACCCGGACACCGTCATCTGCTGCCACCTCCTCGAGGGCCTCACACCTGCCTTCGACGCTCACAAGCTTGCTTACATGCAGCTTATCTCCAAGCACCACACCCCTGCCGAAGTCGCTCAGTGGATTATCACCACCGAAGCTGAGATCCTTCGCCACTCTTCCTCCACAGCCGCAGCAGCCCAGTCGCGCAGCAGCCGGGGTGGCCGTGGCGGTGGGCGTGGGGGTGGGCGTGGTGGTGCGCGTGGGGGTGGACGAGGGGGATCAGTAGGTCGCGGTGGTGCTGGCAGCAGTGGTGCGGGTCGTGGTACGGCAGCTGCCTTTCCTCCCTGTCAGTACCTGCCTCGCTACGGTCCCACTCAGGGACAGCGCTGCGGCCAAACTACCCATGCCACTGAGACGTGCTTCAAGGCACTCAGTGATGAGTGGTTTGCCCGTGGCAACACCGGCACCCCTCCTCGCTGGTCCGCCCTCAACCCTCGCCCCACTCCCCTTGAGGTCCGTTCCTCTCCCCTCTATGAACCTCCCTCCTCCACCCACGCTCACCAGGCCCTCGCCCCTCCCCAGCAGCAGCACCAGCAGCAGCAGCAGCAGCAGCTTGGGAATCAGCAGCAGGGGTCACAGCAGTATGGGCAGCAGCTTCTCCTCTCTCAGCTCCAGCAGCAGCTCCAGCATCTCCAGCAGCAACTCGACCTCCAGCCGCAACTGCCCCTCCTCCCTCCTCCTCCGGTTTCCCAGCAACAGCACTTTCCTACCTGGACTGCTGGGAGTGCTGCCTCTGCAGCCTATCTCTCGGGTGCATCCCCGGCGCCGTCTGCAGGTGGCAGTGTGACCGCTTTCCCTTCCTCTGGTTTTGTTGGTTTATTAGGTCAACCTAAATCTGTTGCATCTCCCATGTACCCTTCTTCTGCTAATGAAACTTCGTTCCAGTACTCTGCCTCACCTTCTTCCACCATTGACTTCGTTCTGGACAGTGGAGCCACTGACACTGTCCTTCGCGACGCTGGTACACTGCGCCCTCTCCCCACACCAACCTCCCTCCTCGGCACTGATAGCAGTTTTTCCATCCCCTGTCACAACACCTCCACCCTTCCCTGTCCTCTCTTTCCCTCAGGTACTGTCACCGGTCTCCACATTCCCTCCCTTCGTACTAACCTCCTCTCCCAAAGGTCCCTCCAACAAGCCATGATCACCACTCTCATCCCAGGTGGTGCTAACCATTGTGACCTATACCAAACCTCCACAGGTCGTTTTCTCGCCCGTATTCCCTATTGTCCTCGCTCCCGTCTGTACACCCTTCGGGTTCCCCGCCCCCTCACCTTCCAAGTTGCCTCCCCCCCCCCTCCTTCCCCCCCCCCCCCCTCCCCTTCCTCCCACTAACCCACCCCTCCCCCCCCGCCCTCCTGACTCTGACTGTTCCTGTCGCTCCCTCTCCCACCCCACCATCCTCCTCCATCTCAGGCTAGGCCACCCCAACTTCGCTACTCTGCGCTCCTCTGTCTCCTCCGGTCTCCTCCACGGTCTCCCCTCCTCCCTCCCTCCCCTCCCCAAATCCCCTGCACCCCCCTGCACCGTCTGCGTTCAGAGCAAGCTCAAGCAGCAGCCGCACCGGAGCTCCCCCTCCGCTACTGCGCAGCCACTTGATCTTGTTCACATGGACCTATGGGGCCCTAATCCCTCTTCCACTCGCCAGGGCCATCGCTACCTTCTCGTGCTTGTTGATGATCACAGTCGGTACTCATCCGTCTCTCTCCTTCGGACGAAGGCGGATGCCCCGGCAGCGATCATCGCCTGGCTCGAGCGGGCAAACACCCATTTTGGACGCCCTGTTCGCCGCCTTCACTCTGATGGAGGTGGTGAGTTTCTTAACAACCAAGTCTCCTCCTATTGTCAGTCTCATGGCATCCTTCAGACTTACACCCTCCCTCACTCCCCACAGCAGAACGGCGTGGCTGAGAGTCGTGTTCGAGAGATCACCAAAACAGCCCGGTGTCTGCTTGTTCACGCCTCCTGCCCCCCTTCTCTTTGGGGCTACGCCCTCCTTCATGCCGCCCTCCTTACTAACCTTTACCCTCACCCACTTGTCCCCTCCATCACCCCCACTGAGCTGTGGACGAAGGACAAGCCTGATGCCTCATCACTTCGTGTCTGGGGCTCTAAGGCACATGTCCTCATTCACCCCTCTGACCGCTCCCGTTCCATGGGAAAGCTTGCCCCTCGTACCCTTCATTGCATCTTCCTTGGTCATAATCCCTCCTCCCCCGACTACCTTTTCCTCCACCCCCCATCCGGTCGTCTAATCCGCAGCAGGGATGTGGTCTTTGACGAGTCCACTCCCTACTACTCCTCTCCCACATCTACTGACCCACTCCCCCCTCTCACCCGTCCCCTTGTCTGGTCTGACACCACCCCTCCCCCACTACTCCCTCCTCCCCCCATCCTCCCACCCCCCCCTTCTCCGCCGTCCCAGTCCCATGGTGCCCCTCCCTCTTCTGGTGACATCTTTGACCCGGAACCTCTGTCTTCCCCTGTCTCCCCCGCTCACTCCTCTCCTAGTACCCCTCCCCCCCCCCCCCTTCCTCTCCCTCGCCACTAACCACTCCTCCGCCTTCCCGCACCATACTCACCCGGTATCCCCACACCAGGTCACGTGACGGTATCCTTGGTGCACCGCCTCCCGTTACCCTCTCTACCTCTACCCTCCCCCCTCTCTCCCCCCTCCTTCGTCACTTCTTCCAGGCTGTCCTGCATCAAGCCCCTCATGCAACAGCCCCCTCAGCCACCTCCTCTCCAGCAGCGGCACCAGCAGCGGCTCCAGCAGCAGCAGCAGCAGCGGGACCAGCAGCGGCAGCAGCGGCGGGACCAGTAGCGGCAGCAGCAGCAGCGCCAGCAGCCGCAGCAGCAGCAGGACCAGCAGCGGCAGCAGCAGCGGGAGCGGCATCGGCAGCAGCAGCGGGAGCGGCATCGGCTGCAGCAGCAGGACCAGCAGCGGCACCAGCAGCGGCACCAGCAGCTGCACCAGTAACAGGTCCAGCAGCGGCACCAGCAGCGGCACCAGCAGCGGCACCAACAGCAGTACCAGCAGCGGCACCAGCAGCAGTACCAGCAACGGCACCGGCAACGCCTCCACCAGCAGCACCAGCAGCGGCACCAGCAGTCATTCGCGCCTTCCACACCTCCCTCTCTGAGGACTCCCATGAGGAGTTCCTTGACCTCCACCTTTATGACTCCTTGCTTCTACCCATCACGTTCGATCTCTCCGGCACACCTGTCTTCGCCTTCTCCTCTGCTCCCTCTATTTTCGTTCCTACCTCGTACGAGGAGGCAATGGCGTGCCCTGACGCTCCGCTATGGCTCGCCGCCATCATCAAGGAGCTGGAGGCCTTTATCGGCAACTCCTCTTTTGTCGATGTGCCTCGCCCTCCCGCCCCTACGAACGTGGTGAAAGGAAAGTGGGTGTTTCGCGTCAAGCAGCTGCCAGGGGAGCCGCCCGTCTATAAGGCTCGTTACTGCGCCAAGGGGTTCACGCAGCGGTATGGTTTTGACTTCTTCGATACCTTCTCCCCTACTGCCAAGCCTGCTACTGTTCGCGCCGTGCTCGACCTCGCCGCTCGCCTCAATATGGAGATCCACTCGATGGACGTTTCTAACGCCTTCCTACAAGGCGTCCTCCGCGAGCTTATCTACATGGAGCGTCCAGCCGGCTTTCACCTTCCCTTCCCAGCAGACTTTGTCTGGCAGTTGCGTCGACCTGTGTATGGGCTCCGACAGGCCCCTAGAGAGTGGCATGCTAAGCTTGCCGCCACCCTTGGTGAACTTGGGTTTCGCACCTCCCGCTCCGACGCCAGCCTCTTCCTCCGCACCTCCCCCTCCCCCTTCTACATCCTTGTATATGTCGATGACATGATTCTGCTCACCGCCGACCTTGCTGAGTTGGAACGTGTTAAGGCTGAGTTGGGTAGCCGACTCAAGTGCAAGGACTTGGGAGAGCTGCAGCATTACCTGGGCATGACCATCACCCGCGACCGCTCCTCCCGCACCATCTCTCTCTCCCAGGGTCATTACTTGCAGCAGGTCTTGGAGCGGTTTGACATGGTCCGCGGTGGCGCCCAACCTACTCCTCTTTCTGTCGGGCACCACCTCTCTCCACCCACCTCCCCCTCAGCCTCCTCCCATCCTTATCCCGAGCTCATCGGCTCCCTCATGTACGCCATGGTCTCCACTCGCCCTGACCTTGCCTACCCCATCAGCGTCCTCGCTCGTTTTGTTGGCGTAGGCAAGCATACGGAAGAGCACTGGCAGGCCGCCAAGCGTGTCCTCCGGTACCTTCGTGGCACCAAGGACTATGTCCTTACCCTTGGCGGCCCCTCCCCACCTCTCCTAAGCGGCTACAGTGACTCCTCCTGGGCTGATTCCCGGCCAGATCGTCGCTCCTCCCAGGGCTATGGCTTCTCTCTTGGCAGCGGCCTTATCAGCTGGCGCTCCACCCGCTCCTCGGCTGCAGCCCTCTCCTCCTGCGAGGTGGAATTGTATGCCGCCACCATGGCTGCGCAAGAGGCCCGCTGGCTCACCTTCCTTCTTGAGGAACTTGGTGCCCCCCAGCGCTGTCCCACAATTTGGTGTGACAATGCTAGTACCATTCACCTCACCAAAGATGCTGTGTTTCACGGGCGCTCCAAGCACATTGAGCTCCGTCATTTCTTCATTCGCGATCTTGTTCAGGCGGGGCACCTTCGCCTCGACAAGGTTGACTCGGCGGCCAACCTTGCCGACATCTTCACAAAAGCTCTTCCTCATGCCGCTCACTCTTTCCTACTTCGTCTTCTTGGCCTCACTCCTCCTAAGTCTCCTCCCGCCTCTTGATTCTAGCCTTCTAGCCTTATGCATGTTGGGGGGTTGTGTTGTAATTTCATATTTCATACAACATACATAGGCTAGAAGTATAGCACATTTTATAAATTGGGGGGTTGCTTAGTGTACCCTCCAACCACATTTTGTGGTTGGTTGGGATTGGTCCTTAGCTCAACCAATCCCAACCAACACACATTTGTGGTTGCTTGGGTCACAAGCAAGCTCACCCATTGGCCAACTTATTGGCCAATAGGGTAAGCTTCCCTCTCATCTCTCTCTTGCTCATTGTTTGTACAAAAGAGCCTCTTGGCTCATTATTCAATGCATCAATTCTCTCACTTCTAACACCTCCCTCCCTCCCTCCCTCCCTCCCTCCCTCCCTCCCTCCCTCCCTCCCTCTCTCCCTCCCTCCCTCCCTCCCTCCCTCCCCTCCCTCCCTCCCTCCCTCCCTCCCTCCCTCCCTCCCCTCCCTCCCTCCCTCCCTCCCTCCCTGCATCGCTCCTCTGCAGCACCTTCGCACAGTCTGTTTTGCGCCTCCTCAAAATCACACTCTTCCCTCCTCCCCCCTCTCCTCCACCCCCCCCTTTCCCACTCCGACAGAAGCGCCCCTGGCAGCAGGTCACATCGCTGCTCTGCAGCACCTTCGCGCAGACCACAGAGTTCCAGGCCGTGTCCCTGCCATCGCAGGGCGGCATGCAGTCCACTCTAGAAGATCTCTAGAAGATACCGTGGTGGTTTAGTCGCGCTTGCCACAATACGGAGGCACGTATGATGTAGACTCGCATGCAACACCATCTCATCATGGCCCTACTTCCAGTGCTCTTCTGTCTCCACTTCCTAGGCTTGGATGGGCTCTGAGCACTTGAATAGCAGAAATGCTTTGCTTGCAGCACCCGTGCACTCTGCGGGCCCACACCTTTCCTGGCCTAATAAACTAATTGTTGAAGTATTATTTTCCCACATCCAGTTTACATCAAAAGAGCCGAGCCCAGAAGTATTATTTCCGACTCTCCTCTCCACCCTCTGTGAGCAGGGACTTGAGCAGGAACCAGCTCAGCGGGTATATTCCAGCCAAGATTGGAAACCTTGCTTCCTCGAGATATGTGTGAGCCATGTAGAATAGACCTCGAGTATGAATAGATGAGGCTTCAGCCTTCAAGTCAAGCTACCACTACCTTCTCAACAATCTAGGACTTGAGGTTTTGGTCTTGTCTTGTCAGACGCTGCATGCATGGAATGGAAGCAAACTTGTATGGACCTCTGTTTGTATGGGGACCATGTTAGGCACGTCTGAAGAATCATGTTAGGCATTGGGATTCAAAAACTCTTGAAGCGCATGCAGCGCTTGGTAAGCAGTTCTCACACCAGGCCCACAGCTGTCTGTATGTGTGTGATATGTTGGCCCTTTCTTGCCCATAAGTTCCCCCCCGCATTCTTCCTGTCCTTGCAGCATCCTCCCAGCAATGTCATAGGAGCCATAGAAGGAAAGTGGCTAGAGAATGTAAAATTACAATATCCAAAAGTCAGCCTTCACCTCACTTACACTGGCCGTCCACCCCGTGTGCTGCATGCTGTGTATGCATCGCTGGCCTGGGTGCGCATTTCTTCTTCAATTGCCACCATTTGCTGAACTCGAGGATTCCATAATATCAGTGTGCTTTCTGCGCATGCCATATGTTTCTAGTTGGACGACTTTTGAGGCGCCTCAAAAGGTGCCATTCCATTCCACAACATCAGTGTGCATTCAGCACATGCCATATGTTCTTAATTGGGCGTTACTGTGAGTGCTTCACCACTTTGCATCGACTCAAAAAACTCATGATTGATCCTTCTTTCCCCCCTTCCCAATGACCCATCCCTCATTCACCCCCCTTATTCCATGGCTCCACGGCTCTGCCCATGGATGTTTCCTCCACGGACTCTTCTTCTTAAGGACCTTCAGGTCTCTGTATGCAAATCACTTGAGTGGGACCATTCCAGCATCTATTGGCAACATGACCAACTTGCAAACCTTGTAAGTGGCAGTATTCTGGCCGTGTCACCGTGACATTGTCACGCGCATGGGTGGAATAATGGCATGTGTCACCAGAAGTCCCGTACTAGTGGTATGATGCATGTGCCATATTGTTGTTTCTCGTCCCTGATGGTTTCCTGCTGGTTATTACGCAGAATCGTGCCACTTCTAATATTCATCATGCATTGTTCTCGATTCAGGCGGCTGAGCAACAACAACCTATCTGGGTCCATTCCACCATCAATCAACAACGTTCAGAAGCTGTGCGTGTTTCACAAACATCCGAGAAATCTTGTGCTGTGGATCCCTATGCTTTGTATATCAATTCCCTATGCTGTCTGAAGCATTTCCCAGTGCTGTGTAGGGCATTCTCCTGATTATTTTCCTGAAAACAAGGTCATCGTATGCAGGATGAGGTATTTCATGCTTATTTAAAAAGCATTTTTTAAATAAGAATGGTCTAGGCAGTCTAGTGCTCATGTAAGCCCTTGGTGGGTTACGTTTAAAGGGGGGGTGGGTGGTACAGTGCATGTGCATGTGCATGTGTCGATCAGGTGCATCGGCTCCTCCCTGACTCGCATATCTGCCTTCATGGTCATGTCCATCCTTTGCGCCACCCTTTGGTTGGGTTTACTCATCTTGGACGGTTCGGGTACTATCAGTATGTATGTAGGACAGGCATGACTGTACAAATGCAGTCCTGTTTTACAACAAACAAGATGGCAACATTGCAGTCCAATGCACCAGGATTCTTCTGGTGGATCGTTTCATTGAGATAGCCCCTGGAGTTGGAAAGTAGAGAGAGAATGACGATAAGATACTGCTAGGAGCTAAGGGACCAAGTTATACAAGCACAACTAGCTTGTGCACTGCGATTAGTTAGCTGAGAAGGCAAGTGTGACTAAGATGCCAGTTCATGAGCCAACATGGATGGGTTACTAACTAGCTACACTCCAACGCAGTCATGTCTAGCATGTCTGATCCTCCTAATTTCCTTCTTACTTCGCTTCCCCCCTTTGCTCTTTCCCTGAATCCATTATGCACCTCATTCCTCCATCTTATTTTTCCACATCCACACATGTCCCGCTTCACGGATTCACGGGCCATCAGAGATCTTGGGGCGAATCTCTTGAGGGGTTCCATTCCCACAGAAATTGGAAGCATGACAAACTTGTGCTATCTGTGAGTTTCTTGGCAGCCGTGCTCCGTTGTTTTGACTGGACGAGGTGCCCTATGCATTTCATATGTGCTGTATCGTTTGGCCTCGAAGCATGTGACTTCTCTGGGCAGTACAAAAACAAATTGTGACAAGAGAGATGGAAATCGAGGCGGAAGTTGGAAAGCATCGCCAACCACATAGCACAGCACACACACACTGGCTTCCCTCAATAGCCAAGCTTCTCAGCTCATGCAGTACTTTTGCAACCATGCATCGTAGGCAGTTGACCCTTTGCTATTTGCACCAGTCACTGGTTAAAACAATTGTCACTTGCTCAACCATTTCTGCCAGTTCCTTTTCGTTTTGATGTAAAAGTTTGCTTCGTCCCTATTCACACCATTGTCCCTTTCATTTCATGTACGTCAGGAGGTTGGGGAACAACAAATTAAGCGGGTCCATTCCAACAACCATGAATCGCCTCACCAGCCTTACTTTTCTGTAAGTATCCCTCACTTGCGTGTCTTTCAGCACAAATATACGTTGCTATGTTACACTTTTTCTATTGCGCTGCCAGCATTGCCAACGCAGTGACTAGCATTGCTCACAATTTTCAAGTCCGTCAAACTTCAAGAGTGAGAAGTTTGAAGCTATCAGTGACTTGTTGCCATCCTTTCGAGTTTAGGGCTTAGTGGCTTGGGTTGCGTTCAAGCTATCAAAAGCATCGCACCTACTGCCCAACCCAAAGCGGTTCATTGTTCCCCCTGGTTCACTTCGTTGACAGCTCCTCCTTCGTGCTGCTGGTGCCACAGGCATCAAGCACACGTGCTGCTGGTGCCACAGGCCTGAAGCACATGTGCTGCTGGTGCCACAGGCCTCAAGCACATGTGCTGCTGGTGCCACAGGCTTCAAGCACATGTGCTGCTGACCAGCATAACACATGAACGCTGGCAACTTGCAACAGCTTCGTTAGTGGCACTGCTCTGGGGGATAAAAACCTAGTGTAGAGGGTCAGGGAGGTGTGGTTGAATAAGGAGTGTCTAGTTACGCATGTGAGCCCAGCCTAGCCCAGTCTTCCAAACAAGTGGCACCTCTGTGAGACACTGACCACGTGGAGCATGATGGGAAGAGAAACAGAATATAATAATAAAAGTCAATAGATGCTTCTACCAGAGGCCTCATGGATGGTGTATATCCACCACACAGATCGTGTTGCCATTCCGGGTTCGGGGATTTCTACTTTCCTGCCCTGCATTGCACCCTCCCCGCTTTGCTCCTTCCCTGCTTTGCTCCCTCCGTGCTTTGCTCCTCCCATCCCTCGAATGCTCTCTTCCACTGCTGCACCCGCGGGCTATTCTCTTCCGGCCACCAGAGATCTGAGTGCCAATCGCTTCCACGGCTCCATCCCTGCTGCTCTTGGTGCTCTTCTTGACTTGAAGTATCTGTGAGTATTCCCAGCAATCGTACTGTTGCTACGGTACCTTTCTCCGCTCGAGCATGCCATTGAGCACTGTTCAGCCTACTACTATTTTCGCTGTGACCAGGTGTAATTTTTAGTGAACCTAAGGGTGGAAGAAAGGGGTAATTCGGTGCTCAATAAGGGTATCTAGTTACATTGTACATCTGAGTCCAACAACCAAGTGCAGGAAAAAGAGATTATGCTACTTTTTGCGATTCTGGTGTACGAAGGAGAATTCACGATTTGCTGCTCCTAGTTCAAGGGAGGTATGGAATGATTTGCTGATGGCGTTCTACTGTGTACCCCCAAAACAGGTTCCTTGGCAACAACAATTTGTCTGGAACCATTCCCAATTTGCTTATGGGTCTCCTCAACTTAAAGAACATGTATGCATTTTGCGATTTTTGAAATAGTCAAAGAGAAGCCTTTACAGTATGGCATACTTTTCTCTTGGACTCACTTGTTTGTACTACTGCATGGTCGTCCTTATACGCTTGCTTGTCTCAACAGGTCCCTTGGCAACAATGAATTGAGTGGCACCATCCCCACGCTGATTACAACTCTTAGGCAACTTTCATCCTTGTGAGTACGCATGAGCATAGGGCCGTTACACTTACAGGGCCGACCTTTTCGTCTTGGCCGGTCTTCAAGAGAGGAAGACGGACCAGGCCCACCCTTCCAGGACGACAGGAAGACAGACGAGCCTGGCTCGTATAGGGGAGGTTTGGGAAGTCCATAAGGTTTCACTTCACTGACACTACTCCAGTCTTGCTCAATCTTCGATTCAATGTGCTTTTCTTACGTTGCTGCCAACCCACAACACAATTCTTTATCGTTTATGTGGCACTCGTGATTGTGCACGTGCTGCCAGTAAAGTGTCTCACAACAAGCTCAGCGGGTCCATTCCCACCACCATGCAGAGCCTTTCTAGACTTCAAATCCTGTGAGCCACATGAATCACAACTTGATGAGTGTAAAGTAGGTTTGTTCTTTTGCTCTGGTAACAAGGACAGAGTTATGATACTACTTTTTCCGTGACGACAATCCAGGGGCTTACTATGCATTTCACAAAGCTCGATGCTTGTTTTTTATTCAGACGATTTGTGCAGATGACATTCAGGTCAAATATAGTTCCAACTTCTGGACCAAGACCTCTCAATCTGGTCTCTATGCTCCATGCAATCTCCATCCACACACGTCCACGTGGGCAGGCACATGAACGATAACCTATTGTCTGGGAGTATTCCAGGCATCGTCAACCTGCCTGATCTGATCGAACTGTATGTCCACGTCTGTCAATGAAAGGGTGCCTACCCGAATGCATTCTGTCTGGTTGGGTGATCACGGTGCTGCAATAATGGGAACCGAGGGAAACACAATACATGATAGTGCCCAGATTCCTGGGATGGCAACAGTTCTGTGACGGTTTTTTTCAAACAAAGGACAGGATGTGTTGGGACTTGCTGCACTGCACCACCATCCATGCAGATTCAAAGAGGCTATGAGCTGGACTTTTGTCCCTATTATGTAGTTGGACTCCTCAAAACATGATACTACCTGGTTGGTTGCATCAGGGATGTTGCCAACAACATGCTTAATGGCTCCATTCCTGAGTTCCTCAATCAGATTTCTGCACGCACCAGCATGTAAGTGACTTCGGTAGCAATCTGCGTCTCCTTGTCTCAATGAGTGGTGCAGCATCCTCTTCGCTCTGTGTCTGCTGATTGTGTCCTTGCCTGATCGTCTTCCCCTCATCATAATCTGCCGTTTTAAGTTGCTCCTTATGTTTCTCTGTCTTGCGTACAACCATTCGTACACCGTACGGGCTCACCCCCAAGCTTTCATGTGTCGCATACAATCCTTTGTAGAGCCTCCTGCATCGCATGGGCTCACCCCCAAGCATTCATGTGTGGTGCTCCATGTGGGGTGGGCAGGGTGTTGAGTGGGAATCAGCTGAGCGGCTCCATCCCATCCTCCATCGCCTATGCTAGTCACCTGCAACGCTTGTGAGTTTTTCCGGATGCACGTTCATTCCCGTTACGAAGCAATAGGTTGGCCGTCGGCTATGGAGGCACATATTCACTGAAAGGTTGAAACAACCAATCGAGTAGGATTCACGTGAGGTGCTCAAAAGTCCGGTTCACAAGCCCTGCTCGAGTGTTTGATATACACCTACCCAGGAATCTGTGCTTCAAACGACACATGTGAATCGCTTGATTGCTGATACTTTACACTCAACAACCTGCAAGGTATTCAGTTACGAGTGACACATGCGTCCTGCACCCAAATGGACTGTTGCCCGTCACAAACATTTCTTTTATTGCTACTGCATGGTAGAGGTGCTGTATAAGGCTTCAATTCCCCGTTTTGAGCAAGCCAATATCGTTTCAGAGGTGCCCATATTGTCCTGCACGTTCTTGTGCCTAACGATGGGGCTAGCAGCATCCAACTAGGTTTACTCCTCTGTGTTTCAGGTGGTTGGACAATAATCTATTAAGTGGATCTTTACCCGACACGTTCAAGGCTCTATCGAAGCTTACCTCCTTGTAAAACGATTCGCCTTTCTTTGTTGCACGTTTTCTGCGATGTTGCGTCTCTAGTAGCTTCCGGAGTGTTCATGATTCCAGCTTACTTGAAACAGTTCCATGGCACTGAAGCTGCTTGCTTGCTCTTCCATGGGTGGGGCGGGACCTGCGGTACTTCCTTCAGTTAGTTGTTCCATTTGGGTTTTCCATACTGCCTGCCTGTTACTCGCTCTGCAGGAGAGTCAACGCTACGAGCCTCAGTGGAACGCTGCCAAGCTCGCTTGGAAGCTTCACTTCGCTCGACTCACTGTATGTGGCACACCAGGGAACCACAGCATGGTCCCGCATCGCAAGTGCCAGTCCATGGATGGCGTGTGTGTGCTGAGCCTGTGGGTTTAGTTTGGACTTTAAATGAAGAGGCTTACTTAATGAAACAGAGCACACTTTTGGTAGAAGCTTTTCTCTCAAAGATGCCAGACGGCTTTTGATATATTGGTGAAAATTCTGTAAGATATCTCATCAAATCAATGATCTAGCCTCACCAATTTCAATCGAGGGTACGCCCACGCGAAAACGAAAGTTCTCCTGCACAAACACCTTCGGGCTGCAAATTGGGTGGACAAGTAATAAATCATTGCCCACCCATGTTGAGTGTGGGCCCTTGCTTTAAGAGCATTGTCATGGTCTCCGAGCTCCCCTCTCTTCTCTTCTCCCCCGCACCAGCAACAGAAGCGGCAGCGGCCTCACATGTCCTGCAGACCACACCAGCTGTGGTCCCTCCCAATCGCTCAACTCATCATTCTGCCAGACGTGTGCCTCCTTCTGCCAAACCTGCGGCACGCCAGCCAGTGAGAAGATGATGAGGGCTGGGCATGGGGTGGAGCTGGGCATGGGGTGGAGCTAGGCATGGGGGAGAGCTGGGAATGGGGTAGGTTTGGGCATGGGGGATGCTTACTTCTTGAGGTGCCTCAAAAGAAAAGATGAGTGATGCAAAGCATGGATGTTTCGAGTGCTGCATTTCAATTTAGCACTTGCTTCTGATCGTCGACAGGGTATAGCACGAGGTTTTCCTGAGATCGAGAGCCTGCCCTCGTTAATAAATTATGCCCTTTTCAATCTATGAACATCTGATTTTATTTGGCTTTGGTGTGCACCTCCTTGCCCTGCGGTTTCGAGGTGACTTTTGAGTCGACTCAGACAACTTGATCTGGTTTCTGATTTCGTGCCCGTGTTTAAACAGCTACTAGCAGCAGCAGCAGTGCTGACATCAGCAGCGGCAATTTCTCTTCAGAAGCATCTGGAGGTGGAGGGGGTGTATCAAAGAGAGCCATCATTGGCATTGCTGTTGTTGCAGTCGTCATTCTCCTCCTGCTTCTGGCTGCCGTTGTGCTCTTCGTCAGACGCAAGAGGCAGCAGGGACCAGCAGGTAAGTAGGTGCAAAGCAGTTACTGATTTTTCTCAACTCAGATGACTCCTTGACAGGTTGTTCACATTTAGACATTGCCTGTGGCCCTTCTGCAGCAATGGCTGGTGTGCTGTCAAGCAGTGAGGACTAAAATCTACTCCCCGCTTGTAGCCTAGAAATGCAGCAAAGCCTGCCAGATCAAACGTTAGCCAGAACTATGATATGCATACACACATATTTGCACATGATATAAAAAAGACCCATTCTCTGTGTGAGAGTTTACGCTGCCCTTCACCTCACCCTTTTTCCTTCAACCTACGGCCAGGCCTGGGGCCCAGTCTGGCAGCGCCGCGCTGCACGGAGTTCTCCCTGGACGAGGTGCTCAAGGCCACCAACGACTGGTCGCAGGACAACCTGCTTGGCTCGGGTGCCTTTGGTGATGTCTACAAGGGCGTCTCTCCCCGCGATGGCACCACAGAATGGGCTGTCAAGCGCGCCAAGCTCATGGATTCGGATTTCCAGAGAGAGGTGAGTGAGCCATGCCATGTATGGAGCGTTAGAAGATGAGCAAGAATTAGTTTCGTTATGGTGAAAGTCACTCGGCGTTAGATGGAAACGGTGTACGGTTGAGGAGAATGGAAGCAAACCATATTGGACAGGCCTTCAATGTTCAAGTTGGCAAAGTGGTTGGATTCTGAATTGAATCTAATTCGGTATGGTTGGAATAACACTTCTACACCACACATAAAATATGATACAATTTGCAATATGATACAGGCATAGATTGTTGCTTCCAACACCACTCATAGGCTGCAACATATGAACCTTACAGGTAATGGTCAAATGGGCTCTCTTGCTGCTTCCTTGTGTTTTCTTTGCCACAGGTTCAGCAAATGGCCAACAAGAACCATCCCAACATCGTGCGCCTGCTTGGATTCGCAGTGGGAGGGGACTTGAGAACACGACCAGAGCACATCTTGATCTACGAGTTTGTGCCCAACGGTGACCTTCACAAGTGGATCGATCCAGGTATGTGCGACGCTTTTTCCTACCAGGACCATTGTAGTCTGTGCAACACAGTATTGGCCCAAACGCACGATTCTTCTTGTAATGCACTGTAACTCTTGCTGAGAACCTTGCAGAGGCACCATCTCCTCTGAGTCTGCAGCAGCGGCTGGACATTTTCATTGGTGCTGCACGCGGTTTCAAATATCTCCACAGCTTTGGCGTTGTGCATCGCGACATCAAACCCGCCAACATCCTCATCACCAACCACATCCAGGCAAGATCTCGTCAGGTACACACACACGCACATGCACACGCACACGCACACGCACATGCACATGCACGCGCACACGCACATACACATGCACACGCACACGCACATGCACATGCACATGCAAATGCACATGCACATGCTAAAAATGGGCAGATGCGTGCTGCAAGCAAGAATCACATACGGTTCATTTCTCTATTGTCCATCGATGCCCAACAAATACAAGACGCATGAAATTCGAACACTACATATGTGGTAAACTTTGGTGTTGCTCGTGCTGCTATGGCCCTACCTACCACCTACCAGGCAAAGATTGCAGACTTTGGGCTTCTGAGGGAGGGAGAGGACACAGCTGTTGGAGAGGGTACCACTGCGGGAAAGGGCACCACACAAGTGATGGGAACACCAGGCTATGTGGATCCCGTCTACTCCAAGACGTCACAGACAACCACCGCCAGTGATGTCTACAGGTGACATAGTTGCAGTATCAGAGAGATGTGCCTTCATTTGGGGCTCTTCCTTCATACTCTCTCTCTTTCCCTTCATGGTTGCTGTTTCTGCTGCATGCCCTGCTGCATGCGCTGCTGCATGCCCTGCTGCATGCCCATCATGGCACTCGCATGGCACGCATCAGTCATTTCAGAATTGACTTTCATATTGCCTCCATGGTATCCTGACCTTTACGCCCCCCCCTCCCTTCTCTCTGCAGCTTTGGTGTGCTCATGCTTGTGGTGCTCACTGGACGCCCTCTATTCTCGGAGTCTGCTGGGGAGACCAAACACATCCTCCTGATTGTAAGTACCAATGCCAGCTGCTCGGCTAAAGAGGTCTGTGCAGTTGTAACATGCTGAAGTAACCACTAAGCCTCCCCATGCATTGAAGTATGGTCGAGTTGCTTCTGCTCACTACAGCACATCTCCACTCCGAGACTCCTCTACTCAACCCACTCCTTTCTCGCGCTCCCCTAGACAGCCTATTGTCTAACAAACAGACACCACACCGAGCCTCAAATAGCCCATCATGACCCATCATTCTTCACCGGTTAATGCTTTTATCCCCAACCATCTGCACCGCTTCAGGCGTCTGAGTGCCTCGCCTCGGGTGACTCAGAGAGCCTCAGGGATCCGCGCATGGACACCTCTCCTAAGGATGCGGTGCTGCGCGTGGCTGAGCTGGCAGTGAGCTGCACCGTGGAGCGCACTGCAAGCCGCCCAAGCATGGCGCACATTGCCACCCAGCTGCAGGCTGTCAGGGAGGAGGTGGCGGGGAAAGAGGAGCTGGGTGCAGCGACTAAGGTTGATGCGCAAGTGCAGGAGATGAAGAATGCAGTTGCCAACGTGCTAAGCCTGGATGCAGAGATTGACCTCATCGCTCAGCAGTTTTCTTGACAACCAGTTTCCAATCCACCAAGGCTCGGCTCGACTCTCGATGGGTACCAGTTCGTCTTGTTGCCCCTAATGTACGGTAGTACTGTAACACTTGGTTGAATCTCAGAGCTTCACGTTGTGTGCAGCAGCTGCTGTACCCTTTATCCGTACCGTATCCTTTTTCCGGACATCAACAGATTGCATTTCTTTGTCGATAAAGATCAGCCAATAGTGGTAGTTACACCCATAAACTGCGTATGCAAACCTGGGTGGATTGCCTGTCTGTCTCCGACCGTAGGTTCCTGCTGGTTTCTGGAAATAAGAGGCCTGGTGTTGCCTTGTTTGGCCTGATCTGTTCTGATCTGGGGTCTGGTTTGCTGGCCTGGTCTGGCCTCATGTTCTCTGGCATGATCTGGCCTCCTCTTCTCCGTCATGGCATGGTGTCGTGCGGCTGGGTTTGATATATTGGAAGGTAGCTTGAATGTTGCCAACCAACCGAAGCTACATGTGCCGCTGGAAGTGTAGTATGCTTGGGAGCAGTGAATGAAGTTTTCAATCGCATTGAAATGCGAAAATTTTCTTCCCCTTTGCCGTGAGGGCTACACACCAGGGCTCAAAATTGGTTTTTGGCCGCCCTGTCAAATCAGGGTGCCAACCAGGGTCTACCCTGACTGGTAGGATACATACATCGTTAGCCTGACAAATACAAGGGTAAAAAAACAAATAGTATGTTTGTGGGTATTTTGGTACCTAATTTCGTACTTTTAAGAAACACTTGGTGCCTTAGCACGTACATTTACGACTTGGAATCGTACGATCGCATGTTCTACTCTCGTTGTCGGGGGTATTTTGCGGGGATTCGTCTCGTGTTTTGTATCGCTACAGAGCATTCGGTAACAGTGTAATTGTAATCGTACCCTGTACTGTCAGAAAATTAAAATTCATCTTATGCTGTATTTCAAAGGGTAAGAAAGAACTTACACTTTGTGGCCTAGGGTTAAAATCCATTACCCTTCCTGGGAAAGGGTAACTGGAAAAAAAAAAAAACGGCCGTCAAGAAGGGCAAAAAAGGCGTTTTACTCTGCGGTTTACATATTTCGAGCAGACGGCAAAAGTTTATTATTTGAAAACAGGGTAACCCTTCCTTCACAAGTACCCCTCCGTGGAGAAACGAATAATCGTGGCGGAAGGTTTTGGGAGGGGGATGGAAGGTTCCCAAAATTAACAGCAGGAACGATTTCGCGAGTTAGAACTTGATCCAGTTCAAGGGTGAGTTTGTATATCAAAAGTCTGGCGACCACAAGAGCACAACCTCATAGACAACTTCCCTCACGTAGTGGTTGGACTCGCCATCCTTGTTCGACTTCATTGCACTGGTGATTGAGGGAAACATTCAGTTCAATCCAATGAGCACACGCCAAAGAGTTAGCAATACAAATGCCCCCAAAAAAACCCTTGACAAATGTAGACCGCTGCTTTAAAGGGTGTTCCTTGGGAGGCCCAGGGTGGCGATTTAAATATAATCTACACGAATTACCACGTCTACCTAGGTTCTTACATCTTCAACGCTTGTTACGCTACTTGGGGCACATGTTTCTATCAAAATTACAACTCGTCATAGAGCTGTTGTTTGGCCACAAAACACATACCAATATTGGCTCGACACAGCCAAGCAAAACACTCAAGTCAATATGCACAAATACACAAACAGCACACAAGCCGTATGCGTATACACATAAATGACCAACACAGTGCACACGAACCCACACTATGCACACACCGCAACCGTAACAACATCCTTACTACCACCATGCATCTGTGTGTGCCATCCACACCCCTGCTGCTACTGAACAGCCTCGAACCGTCCTGAACCGCCTCAAATGGCGCCCACTTTAAACGGCATCGACCACATTACTGCACTGTTGCTTCTCCGTGTCACAGCATGTGTGGCACGGCAGTGACAGGAGCATGGCCTGACCAAAAGGTCGACAACGACTTTTGGGACCTGTCACAGTACGCCGTCTCAAGCTGCTCCTTCTCTCCGTCTGTATCACAGCACGCGCAGCACAGCAGTGACAGCAGCATGGTCCGACAGGTCGTAGTTTGACGGCCACATGCCCTGCTGCATCTCAGGGGGAAACAACTCAGCCGGTTGTACTGGCAGCTCCCGCGTTTCAAAACCACTCTCAACCTGCTACTGCTGCTGTTGCTTGAGGTTCTACCTACACTCTTCACAGTCCACACGGTCACAAGCACAACTCCTGCACTCCTCCCGTTGGCTTGTCTTCTTGCCAATGGCAGCAGTAGCAGCAGTGGCAGCGACTGTAATAGCAGAGGCGGCAGCAACAGCGCCTGCTGCCAGCACCATGGGCCCATGGCGTCCCAGCGACATGGGAAACAAGGACGACACCTGCAACACTGGCTGCTCTGGCATTCCAAAGGGTGCTGCAGCATTACCAGGGGAAAGGGTACGACCAGCAGCAATGCGAGCTGAGCCGTGGAAGAGAGTGTCCATCTTTATGGCTTGCTGCAATGCCTGCAAGCCTCATTCTAATGAACACCTTCTCTCATGCTACTGCAGCAGCAGTGGCTGCTGCTCCTCCACAGCTTCATCAAACGGCCCCTGCAAATCCTGCTGCTCCTGCCACATCCGCCAAACCTCCTGCCTCGGCTGCTGCTGCTCCTGCTGCTCCCATTCCTGCTGCTGCTGCTGCTGCTGCTTGTGCTGCTGCTGCCAGGGCCGAGGCCACGGCTGCTCATGAATCCCAGTCGCCTTGCAGATGCGGGCGAAGGTATCCTTCATGGACTCGGTGCGCAGCAGCAGCTTGAACGCCTCGTAGTCCACCGCCCCGCTCCCCCTCGTGTCCGCCCGCTGCACCAACTTACGAATCTCCTCCCTCGCCAGCCCCACACTGTCCTCGCCGGCCCAGCTGAGGCAATGAGACGGAGTGGGAGGGGTGCGGGAAGGTGGCAGGGAAAAGAGGGAGGGGGTGGAGAGGGGGAGAGGACGAGGAGAAGGTTCAGGATGGTGATAGGGAGAGGTAGGGTCGGGAGCTAGGAGTTGGGGACGGTTAATGGGATGGCAAAAGGGGGTACGGAAGATGGAGTGGAAAATGGAGCATAGACAGACAGGCTGTCACGCAGCTCACCTCGTCCATGGCGTATGCAAATTTCTCTGGGATGATACAGTCATGGCGATTCTGCTCCCCATGCTGCTGCTGCTGGCCGACTGAGTGCGTGGCAGCTGACTAAAAGAATTCAAACGCCTGCCGCTCCTCAGTTATCCCCGCCTCTATCAGCTTCGCCTGGAGAGAAGAGGAAAGGAAGGAGGTAGCTACATGGTTAGCTGATTTGTGAGGAGCGTAAGGGTCGGAAGGTATAGTTGGGTATGTAGTGAGGAGTGGTGGGTGAAACGAGAGTTTATCAAGCACACACTCGCACACGCACATACACACACACACACACACACACACACACACACACACACACACACACACACACACACACACACACACACACACAACCGCACACACACAGCAGAAGCAGTGGCAGCAGAATGTACATTACTATCAGTGTCGTCACAGCTCTGCACGCTGTCATAGCATAACACAAAGCCCTGCGACTGCAGGAAGCGACACCCCTTGCCGTCCAAAGGGCCGTTCAGGTCTCTGCAAGGGGGAGAAGAGATCGATGCATGCAACACACACACACGGTTAGGGAGGTTGAGTGATCAGATTTATCAAGCAAGAAAATGAACTGTTATATTGTTTCGGACTCATACTATTTCCTTCCCCATTGCAAACAAACAGAAGGCATTGCGCAAAGAACAGAATGCATAGACATTCATCACGCGCTTCAAACAAACCCAAAAGTGTGTCGGCAAAACGGCCCTGGTTGGCTTATCCGGCGAGTAGGATGGGCAGCGCGTGCAGGTGGTACGCGTGCTTGTAGGCATCCACGTATGCAAGGATCTTGTACACCTCGCGCAGCCGAATCACACTCCTCTCCTTCCTGTTCACCTTCCTCTCCCAAAACTCCTTACTCTCTCCCCCGCTCCACCCGCCCCTCCTCCCCTCCAGGCTCCTTCACGGTGCTCAACTGCTACCCGTTTTTCCTGTTCAAGGACGCCAACGGGAAGGTCATTTATGATTGATTCGACCCGCAACGTTGCACAAAACGCTCCCTTCCATTCCACTCTCTCCGCCCGTCAACCACCCGCACTGTCTCCCTGACTCCTTTTCAGTGTTCAACATCTACCCATGCATGGACACGCACACGTCATTCTTAACTACACTCCCCTAACCTCCCCAACCATCCCTCCTCAATCCCCCTTCCCCACTCACCCCTCTCCTCCACAGGGTCCTTCACGGTGCTCAACTGCTACCCATTCTTTTTGTTCAAGGACGGGAACGGGATAGTGAGCTACGACTATGTGTTGAGTCGACTCAAAACCCGTCCTTCCTCAATGATCCCCATTCCCCGTCCCCGTCCTCCTACAGGCTACTTGATGGTGCTCAACTGCTACCCGTTCTTCCCGTTCAAGGACGCGAATGGAAAGGTGAGCTATGACTACGCCATGTACCGCGGGTACAAAGGCTTCCATGATGGGCGGTGCTACTACCAGAACCTCATGGACGCCATGCTCGATGGTGCCGTGTGGGCCTTTGAGAAGCTCGGCTACCCTGACATGCCGTATATGAGTGAGTGCAACGCTGCATGGTGAGGGGGGCAGAGTCAGAGTTGAGTAATTGTGGTTTCTGGTCCTCTGAATGAGTGAAAGGTGAGGGAGAGAGCCGGGTGAGTGGCGACGAGCGTCAGTAAGTGCAGCGTTGCGTGGTGGGGAAAAGCGGGGGTGTGAAGCGTAGAAGCCATGGTAGTCACTCGTAACCTGCTTTTATTCTCTGCTCTTCTCTCCGCCCTTGCCTCCCTGCCTAGCTTTGATAACTTTTCCTGTTCCTTCACCATTCCTCACCATCCCATGCGCTCCTTCCTCCTCCTTCTCCCCTCCCCTCTTCCCCACCTCCCTCCATGCAGTCGGAGAGGCAGGGAGGCCCACGCTCCTCAACTCCAAGCGCTGGATCACGGGCTTTCTAGCCCGCACAAACTCCCTTCGCGGCACGCCCAAGCGCCCTGACATGCCCATCCGTGCCTTCCTCTTTGAACTCTTTGACGAGGATCTCAAGGACACCTCCCGGACCAGTTTGAGCTACACTTTGGTATGCATTATTCTAACGGTATGAGCTTGATCTGCTGGGCACGGGGAGCAATCTCCCGCCGTCGAAGCCGCCAAAGATGTGGTGCGTGTGGAATGCGATGGCTTCATATGCAGCGGTGGGCGGCAGGGTGTCGTGGGCGTGTTGGAAGGAAGGGGGAGGGTTGGACTGCGCGAGGGTGGGGAGTAAGTGCGGCGCGGAGATGAAGGTGACTGCGGTGTACAACGCATGGTTCCAGAAGCAGGGCCGGACGAGCAAGGCGTGTGACTTTGGCGGCATGGCGCAGGTGACTATGAGGAGCCCGTCCAAGGGGGCTTGCCAACTGCATGGGTGGCCACTGGGGGTCAAGTGACGAGGTCACTGTTGAATCGACTCAAAACAATTTTATCACCTTGATGTGGAATCTGTCCAAGGGGCGCGTGCCGTTTGCAAGGGTGGCCACCGAGGGTGAAGTGACGAGCTGGGGGGTGCAGTCCGGGGATGTGGCGGTAAGGGGATACACGGATTAGGTAACCACATGTAGGGTGTGCTAAGGTGGCGATGACGAATCCATTCAAGGGGGCTTGCCAGCTGCATGGGCGGCCACAAGGTGTGACGTGATGAGAAGCGGGGTTGCAGGGACGTGCGGCGGTGGTAAGGGAACATGCTGGTGCAGGGGGGATTGCTTGAACATGGGATTGAAGCAACGAGGAGGGAGAAGTGAATCACCTAATTAGATTGCAGTGCTGTGTGCAGGACTGAAATTCCATAAGTGCACATAGAGTTCACAGCAGGTCTGATTTATTGTTATAAAAAACCTAAATCTATCTGATTTCCTGAATAAACATATTATGTGAGGATCCACATTTACGGTGTGTTAGGATTCTTCCTAAAGGTTACCAGTATGCTGTTCCCAGAGGATCACTGTGGCCCATCAAACAGCTGCTAGTTGAACAAGGACCAAAGGAAATATGGTAGTGGAGGCGAGAGAGTTCCAACAATTTGATTCCAACTGTTACGTGTGTAATGAATCGAAGTAGCGAGGATTGCACTAGGTGTCAAACGAGTACAAAGTATGAGTGAAGGCATGAGCAAATAATACCTATGTGCGCAACGGTTACGCGGTGCGTGCGAGCTAGCTAGTGCTAGGTTGGCATCGAGGTTCGGGCTAGTCCCAAAGCGTGGGCGACTCGGCCAGGCCAGCAGTGCAAGATTTGGTAAAACAGTGTGCGTGAAGTTGGCGAAGCCCTGTTAGCAGTAACGGGCGACCAACGGCTGCTACTGTACGTGAAGCTAAAGAACGCGGTAAGGAATGCTGAAAATGCCCTTACACTACCCCCCCCTTCAAGAAGCCCCCCCTTCGCTATGCGAGTGTGGCATATCGCAGAAACCCCGGCTCCTCATGTACACTTGTAGTGCATGGTGGTTTTCGATGTTGGCTAGGGGCACCCAACTATCTTCAGTTGGCGTGCGATTCTTCTAGCAAACGAGCAACTCGATCCTCTTGATGCCGGTGGAATGACGTATCCAATGGCTCAGAATCTTCTCAGGCTCGATGATCGGCTCCGATGCCGAGTGAGTCATTGACGGCGGGCGATGTCGTTGCAGTTGACTGGTGGGTAGAATGTACGGGCGAAGCAGGTTGACGTGGAACGATGGGCTGATGTACCAGTTTGTCGGCAACAATAAATGGGCGGTAACTGGGGTGATCATGTGGCTGATTTGGAACGGTCAATAGTAGCGCGGTTGAAGCTTCGACGGGTAGCCTTTAATTCTGTGTGTCGAGCACCCTGACTGATACGTGACTGAGCGGCAGTGGCAGACAGCGTTTCTCTTAGGGATAACGTTTGCTTTTTTAATTGCCTCTGCTGCTCGCGTTCGGGCAGCTTGCAGGATCTCGGCAAACTGTTGTGTACGTGGCGTAGAATTGTCTAGACTCGGCGTCACGGGCGCTGTTGGATTTTGCCCGTGGTTTAGGTAAAATGGGGACTGCTGCGTCGTTGCTGACCTCGCGTTGTTGTAGGCAAACTCAATCAGTGGCAGCTGTTCCCATGTTGTCAGGTCCTCGCACGTGGCACGAATCAGCTGCTCCGTGGTCTGGCTTTGGGGTGGTACGACGAGCTGAACTATAGCCTGGTACCAAACTGCTCCTAAAGGTTCTTCCAGAAGTTGCTGGTAAAATCCGTGTCGCAGTCGCTGATTATCGCGGCTGGTATCGCGTGCGGTCGAACGACGGTCGCGATGAACAAGCGAGCGGTTTCTTCGGCTGAGATCGATTTCCTGCAGGCAGCAAAGTGAGCAATTTTCATCATTCTTTCAACGACGACCATAACCGCGTCGTTACCCCCAGGGTTCGAAGGTAACCATGTGACGAAATATATGGTAACCTGCTGCGAGGCGCGGTCGGGTGGTGAAATTGGCTGCAATTGACCCGCCTTTCTTTTTCGCGAGCTCTTCATCAACTGACACGTAGGACACGATCCCATGTGGTGCTGTGCATCGGTCAGTAGCTCCGGCCAGTAGAAATACCGTTGCACTTGCTGTCGCATTTTTTTTACCCCGAAGTGACCCAAGGTAACCCCATCGTGTGCCTCCTGCAGTAGCAGTTCCCTCAGTAGTGAGTACGCGGGTACCCAAATCCACTTGGGGCATGTCTTTAAGTAATAGACCTCCTTTGCCTTTGCCAGTTTCTTTGAAATTCCCATCGTAAAGAATGGGTCGGTACCGTATCCGTGGGTGAATAGGCATGTTAACAGTGGGTTGGTTTGGACGAGTAGGATGGCATGACGTTGGGCAGTGGGGCGGGTGAGTGCGACAGCGATGTTCCCTTTTCATACGTGACGATGTAGTGGAAGTTGGACTCCAGATAGTCCAACCGGCGGATCTGTCGCGGGTTGAGATTTGGCTGGGTGTGAAGGTATTGTAGTGGACGATGGTCCGTCCGTACTCTCATGTCGGCTCCTGTCAGGTAGCACCGCCACACTATGAACGCGCGCACGATCGCCAACATCTCGCGAACGTGTATCGGGTAGTTGCGCTCGGGCGGGTGAAGCTTGCGGGACTCGTATGCGCTTGGCTGAAGGCCGTTCCCGAAGTCCTGCAACAGTACTACTCCCACGGCAATGTCACTTGCGTCATTGATGAGCTCAAACAGACAGTGAGGATCTGTGATGTGAAGCACGGGCGGTGAGAACAAAATATTTTTGAGGGTCGAGAAGGCAGCTTGCTCTCTCTCTCTCTCTGTCTCTCTCTCTCTCTCTCTCTCTCTCTCTCTCTCTCTCTCTCTCTCTCTCTCTCTCTCTCTCTCTCTCTCTCTCTCTCTCTCTCTCTCTCTCCCCCCCCACGTGTACTCAACCCCCTTCCTCAGCAGGCCGGTTAACAGGGCAGTCAACTTTGCCATGACGAGGACGAACCGTCGCACGTAGTTGACGAACCCTAGAAAACTCTGCAACTCAGTCAAGTTGATCGGCGCGTGCCATGCTCGAACCGTCGCGGTTTTTTTCGGGTCTATTTCTACTCCGTTGGCTGAAATCATGTGCCCCAAAAATTCCAGTCTATCTTGGAGAAACTCATACTTAGAGGCTTTGGTCAGTAGGCGGTTCTCATACAGTATTGAAAAAAACAGCTTCGATGTCTTGTACGTGCTGTGCTATGTCTGGGCCATAGATTAGTATGCTGTCTGGTAGACGATTGCACACTTATCCAAAAGCAGGCGGAAGGCTTCATTTATGGTCATTTGGCATTGGTCAGTCCAAAGGGCACTACTGTGTATTCAAATTATCCGTAGCAGGTTCAGAAAGCGGATTGGGCAGTCGTGCGTATTGATGCGGATCTAGTGGTAACCTCCTCGAAGGTATTTTTTCAAGAAAACCTAGGCTGTGCAAAGTTGGTCGATCTGTTTGTCGGCTCATGAACGGGGAGCAGGCACATGAAGGATAACCAGTTCTCTGGGAGTATTCCAGGCGTCGTCAGCCTGCCTGATCTGATCCAACTGTATGTGCACGTCTGTGTGCAAGGGTGCTTACTCGAATGTTTATGGGTAGGTTATCACGGTGCTGCAATTGTGGGAAATGGGAGAATGATACCTGCCAAATTTCTGGGGTGGCAACGATAAAGTGCGGGTTTTTGCCAAACAAAAGACAGAACGTGTTGAAACTTGTTGCACCATGAATGGAGATGCAGAATGGTTATGGATGCTATGAAAATTCAATATAATGGGACTAAACTTCCCAACACATGACGTTCCTGGCTGGTCATCTCAAGGATCTTGCCAACAACATGCTTAATGGGTCCATTCCTGAGTTCATCAAACAGATTTCTTCACGCACCAGCATGTAAGTGACTGCAGTACCAATCTGCGACTCCTTGTCTCGTTGAGTGCTGCAGCATCCGCTTTGCTCTGTGTCTTCTTATTGTTGCCTTCACTGACTGTCTTTCCCTCGTTATATTTGGCTGCCGTGAGCTGCTTTTTGAGCTGCCACTTGTGACGTACATTCCTTCATATAGCCTCCTCGCACGGCTTGTTGTCAAGCATTCATGGGTGGTGTTCTCCCGAGTTGGGTAAGGTGTTGAGTGGGAATCAGTTGAGTGGCTCCATCCCATCCTCCGTCGCCTATGCCAGTCACCTGCAACGCTTGTGAGTTCACGTTTTGAGGCTCCATCCTCATCCTCCATCACGCTGCACGTTCCAAAGCTGTTTTGTGTGCAACAGATTGACCATAGGTTAGGAAAGCACGCAGTTTGCACAAATATTTGAGTAGCATTTACATGAAGCGCCATGTAACGTTCTTGATTTCTTACAAAGAGTGTGTCATGCGTCCTGACCCCAGCAAGACTGCCACTGTATACTGCATGGCACGGGACCTGTGCAATCAACTGTTACTCAACAGGCTTCAATTCCTGTTGAGAAAGCAACTGTTGCGTCGGAATTGCCCCATCTTGTTGTCCTGCATATTTCTATGATAGGGTCGTCGTTAGCAGCACACAAGCCAACCTGCAATACATTCTGTATTTCAGATGGTTGGACATTAATCAATTGAGTGGGCCTTTACCCGATACTTTTGTGACTCTATCCGAGCTTACCTCCTTGTAAGAAAAAATGCTTTTCTCTATTGCTGATTTTCTGTCATTGGTGCATCTTTAGAAGGTTCCAGTGCATTTATGATTCCAGCTTACGCAAAGCTGCTTGCTCATGGAACTTGTGCCCCTTCCTTTATTCATACCTCACTGCAGGAGAGTCGACTCAACGAGCCTTAAGGGAACGCTGCCAAGCTCTCTTGGAAGCCTCACTTCGCTCAGATTTCTGTATGTGGCACACCAAGCAACCACAGCATGGTCTTGCGTGTGCCTGTCCATGTGTTGCATGTGCGTGCGTGTGAGTGTGAGTGTGTGTCTGTGTGAGTGTGTGTGTTTAAGCGTTGAATCAGTACATGGGCTCACTAAACACCACAGCATGGACTCGTGTGTGCCAGTCCATGCATGGTGTGTGCGTGCATGTCTGTGTGTGTGTCTGTATGCGCGTTTGTGTGCGTGTCGGTGCGAGTGTCTGTGTGCGTGTGCATGTATGTGTGTGTGTGTATCTCTTTGTGTGTGTGTGTGTGTGTGCGTGCGCGCGCGCGCGCGTGCGAGCGTGCGTTCGTGAATGGGTGGGTGGGTGCACGCGTGCGTGTGTGTGCTGAACCTGTGGTGGGTTGGGTGTAAACATTGAAGATATATTCGGTGTATAGGGGCTTACCCAATGCTAGGAGGCTTCCTCGTATGAGTTGTAACAGGTATGTCTTGTCAAACCTGGAAACTTGGCCTGAAGTGTTGAAAGTGAGGCTACGATTTATCTTAAATGGGGAGAATGATTTGAGGAAGAGTACATGCCCTTTCAAATTCGATAATATTGAGTGGCAACAGTTCTATGCTGACCAATTTGGTGAGGAAATTATTATCCTTTGCCCACCCAACCTGAGTGTGGGCCCTTGCCTTAAATATCATGCTATTAACAGCTAGGCAGTGGCTAAGTGTGGATTGTACAATATCTAATGTGAGGTGTACTATGTCTTGCTTTCGTACCTTTAGTTTCATTTGTGTGTTTGGACTGTTACTTGCGCTTTCCAGAACCGAGTTGGTGGGGAAGAGGTTGGTGTGGGGCATGCTCGAATCGTATTCAATTCCAGCCTGGAATGCTATGCATGCCTAGTGGGGCGAGTGGGACCCAGCTAGCACCTTGGAGCTTATGTGAGCAGCTCGGCTGCTACGCTCTTTAGCACCAGAAATAGGTGGATGATGGGTGGATGCAAGCAGTAATCAGACTCGGGGTCCTTGGTTTTTGTTTGTATGCTTCCCTTGATACTGCAATTTGCTTTCCAACCAAGAAAGCGAGCAGCTAGGAGGGGCAAAAGCAAACAGGTGTAGCCCGTGCTAGTGACTGAAAGGCTTGTTCTTGAACAGCCTGCTTGGCAAGAGATCTACAACGCATCCAGACCAAGAGAGACAAAGGGTGAGAGGGGTGCAGTTCACTAGGAGGGAAGGCCTGCTGGGGAGTAATTACCAAAACGATTCAGCAATGGTTCCGGTTTTTTCTATTTTCCTCCCTGCACCAGGAACATGAGCGGCACTGGCCTCACATGCCCTGCTGACTACAGCAGCTGTGGCCCCTCCCAATCGCCCAACTCATCATTCTGCCAGACATGCGACTCCTTCTGTCAAACGTGCGGCACGGCAGCCGGTGAGCCGAGGAGGGCTGTCTGGGCATGAGGTAGGGCAGCGTATGAGGTAGAGCAATGCATGAGGTGGATTGGCACACGTTAGGGTGAAATTAGGAATGCCATGACATACCTTTGAGCTGCCTCAAAAGATGATGGAAGCGAATTCGGTAAGGTATCCTGAGGTGTTGCATTGCATCCTAGCATCCTCTTTCAATTGACGCGGCAGGGTGTGTTGCAACATGCTATAGGGTTACCATTTAGTCTAGTCAACTCAGCAACATTTGTAACAGCACGAGATCTTCCGTAACTTGACAGCTGGCCTGGCCATTGTTAATCCACTATGCCCTTCCTACTGCTAAATATCTGCTTCTCTTCATTTGCGGTTTTTAACCCAATTATGTCAACTCAGATCTGCCTCGTTTTTGTGCCCATGTGCCCATGTAAAAGCAGCTGCCACAAGCAGCGGCGGCAGCTGGTCCGGTGACAGCAGCAGCAGCAGCATCAGCAGCGGTTCTTCCCCAGCAGCATCTGGAGGTGTATCAGTGGGAGCCATCGTTGGCATTGCTGTTGCTGCAGTCGTCATTCTCCTCCTTCTGGCTGCCACACTGCTCTTCTTCAGACGCAAGAGGCAGCAGGGGCCAACAGGTGAGAAGGAATAAAGCAACTAATGATTCGCTTCACTCAGAAGACTCATGCCCCATCACTCACAATTGGACGTTGCCTGTGGAATTTTTCTGCACTCATGGATGGTGTGGCGTGCAAGAAAGGAGGTCTAAATTCTACCACTCATGCAGTTTTGCAGCGAAGGCTGTCAAATCAAACGTGATGTGAGCCTGAAGAAATGAAGAGATAGAAAAAGGGCCCACACCCTTTGTTGCCCTTCACCCTTCACCCTTCATTCTTTGCCCCTCACTGCCACCCCACGGGCAGACATGGGAGACAGTCTGGCAGCATTGCACTGCACAGAGTTCGCACTGGATGCGGTCCTCCAGGCCACCAACAACTGGTCAGACGACAACCTGCTTGGCTCGGGTACATTTGGTGATGTCTACAAGGGCGTCTCTCCCTGCGGCACCACCACACCCTGGGCTGTCAAGCGCGCCAAGCTCATGGATTCGGACTTCCAGAGAGAGGTGAGTGGGCATGGAGCGTTAGAAGTTGAGGTGCCTACAATGAACGGGTTCAGTGATGGTGAAATTCACCTGTCCTTAGGTAGAAGAAATGCTGGGTTGAAGTGGAGAATCATACCAGAAGATGAGTGTGACACGTTGTTTGGATTCCTTGGAGAATCCCCAACGGATGAGGTCGGTAACAAGGTCAGCAAGGTGGTAGCCATGCTCGGCCATAACATACGTTGAAATGAGACGCTGTTTCGCTTCATTTTTGCGATTGGGATTTGCATCAAAGCCGCAAATTACTACTTCGTGTGGGACTAATGCGGCGACCAGTGGGACAGTTGGTGGTGTCATGCAGGGTATGCCGCATGCCACTCGTCATCCTGAAACAAGTGTACCCCCACAACCTGGTCTGCTGCTGCGTTTTCTCGCGGATCCTGTTGTTGAACCGCTGAATTTCCCACAGCCGTGAAGTGAAGTCAAAGGCGCTTACGACAAATTCAAACGTGCATACGGTGATTCTCGTCTTGCAACATGTGAAGTCAAAGGTGCTTACAATGAGCGAGAAGTGTGAAGTCGAAATCATTTAGCGTCTTGGTGTGGAAATGGACGAGTAGGCTCAGAGAGAAATGCGCATCACGGTGCCATGTACACATGATGCCCAGCCATATTCCTTGAAATTTCCTATCCATTTCGAAGCCCTGCCACTGGAGTTTGTGTGTGCCTTTCAAAACCAGAAATGCACAATTCTCTCCTCCCCCACACCCGACCTCAATCCTTGCTGCTTGACTCTGTCTGTTGTATGCTTTGCGTCACGCTCTGTTCCAGATACTTGCTCTCGCTACTACTTTGTGCGTTTATTTGCCACAGATCCAGCAAATGGCCAACAAGAACCATCCCAATATCGTGCGCCTGCTTGGGTTCGCTATCGGAGGTGACTTGAGAACACGGCCAGAGCATGTGTTGATCTACAAGTTTGTGCCCAATGGTGACCTCCACAAGTAGATAAATACAGGTATGCATGCCACAAGTCTGCTACCCAGACCATGTGTGACTGCCTTTGAATGATACATGTGTTATTACCTTTCGATGATTCTTTCTCCTAACACAGCACATTATTGGCACAGACACACAATTCGTTTTGTGATGCGCTGTGATCTTTCCTGTGATTTGCAGTGACACGCTCTCCTCTGAGTCTACACCAGCGGCTGGACATCCTCATTGGTGTGGCACGCGGTTTCAAGTACCTCCACAGCTTCGGCATTGTGCATCGCGACATCAAGCCCGCCAACATCCTCATCACCTCCAACATGCAGGCAAGCTTTCACCAGGCACATGCACATGCTGAAAATGGACTGATGCACGCTGCATGAATTGGATTGGTGCGTGGTGCAGAGGTCAGATACGACTGTACTCCGTCCGTAGTCCTATGAAGAAAAGAAAGATTGTACAATGTCGTTTTAGACCATGGTGCATTAAGTTTCAACCCTACATCCTTGGTTCCCTACGTCTTCGCTCATGCTGCAATTGCCTTACCAGGCCAAAATTGCAGACTTTGGGCTTATGAGGGTGGGAGAGCACACAGCTGTGGGATATGGCGCTGCTGTGGGAAAGGGCAGCACACAAGTGATGGCAACACCGGGCTATGTGGATTTTGTGTACTCCAAGTCGTCACAGGCAACCACCGCCAGTGATGTCTACAGGTGACATAGTCAGAGTGTCATATGCCTACAGTTGGTGCTTCATCTGGCTCATTTTATCTTCCTTGTGCCTCGCTACATGCCCATCATGTCACTGGCATGGCACTCATCAGCCATCTCCTGACGCTCGACCATTTGTTAGTCTTTTACAAAACCTGTCCCTCAACGCCCCACTCCTTCCCTTGCTGCAGCTTTGGTGTGCTCATGCTTGTGGTGCTCTCCGGATGCCCTCCATTCTCTGAGTCTACTGGGGAGACCAAACACATCCTCCTGATCGTAAGCACCAACGCCAGCTGCTAGGCTGGAAAATTCTGTGCAATTACCATGGTTGAAATTGGCACCCCAGTGCGTTGGTGTATGCCCGACTTGGGTCTGCTTACTACAGCACATCTCCACTCCTGGACTCCTCTACCTAACCCACTCCTTGCATGCACTCTCCTGAGCATCATATGTCGACGACTGGCACAGAACTGAGCCTCATACACCCCATAATCTCCAATCATACTTCTCCTATAATGCTTCTATGCCAAATCTCTCTCAGGCATCTGAGTGCCTCGCCTCAGGTGACTCCGAGAGCCTCAAGGATCCGCGCATGGACTCCCCTGAGGATGCGGTGCTGCGTGTGGCTGAGCTGGCAGTGAGCTGCACCGTGGAGCGCACTGCAAGCCGCCCAAGCATGGCGCTCATTGCCACCCAGCTGCAGGCTGTCAGGGAGGAGGTGGTGGGGAAAAATGAGCTGAGTGCAGCGAGTAAGGTTGATGCGCAGGTGTAAGAGATGAAGGATGTGTTTGCCAACGTGGTGGACCTAAATGCAGAGATTGACTTCATTGCTCAGAACTTTGATTGAAATTCGGTTTCCACCAAGGCACGGCTCTCAATGTGTACCAATTTGTCATGTTGGTTCTTCCGTAGATAGACTGGCTCGAATATTCAGAGCAGCATGCTGGGGTGCAGCTGTGCCAGCCATGGCTTCATCAATGCCCATATCATTTTCCTAGGGATATCGACAAATTTTAAACCTCAAGTAAAGGCCCACCAATGCCTACACCCATGGGTAACTAATGGAGACATGGGTGGGTGGTTGGTCTGTTTGGAAGGTAAACCACTCTAATACCGTATTTACCTGACTAATGCCCCCCCAAAAAATCATACCCCACCCCGGGTTGTTAAATAGGGACGGGTTAAGAATATCTCCACTTTTACGGTATAGTCGAGTGGAACTTGTAAGAAGGAAGAGATCACGGCACCCCAAATCACCAGCTCCCTGTGGCCAATCATCAAGCGCTTGTGTCAGCGTAGCACGGCCAATCAGGACGCGATTGTCTCAGAGTAGTGTGCAGGCGACGTTTTGTCCGATGCGATATTGAACAGGTGCAATACCGTAGTAGCCCCTGGGTCTAATGCATCTACACTCGTATGATACATACAGCCCGTATTTTTACATTGGGGTGGGAGTAATCCCTAGGGTGCAATAGTCGGGCAAATACTGCCGTCGCCTGGATAGTAGATAGTGACGAATAAAAGACAGGGTTGTCTTTAATACGGGTGATTTCTGATCAACAAAAGTAGGAGGCATATTGCCGTACCAGTAAGGTATAAGATACGACGTGGCGGGGGGAGGGGGGGAAGTGTCAAAATCTCAATCACTAACCACTGGGATAAAAGGCTTGCTTGTGTAGCGGGTGAGTGCGCCCATAACCCCCAAGGCCAATGTGCATGTAACCCCCCAGCCTAGGATCAATCGGGGATCACCAGTGGACCTCTGACACCCCCCCGCACTGGGATGCCCGAAGTGCACACACACGGATTCGACCCCGAGACCTTCGCTATGATAACATGTTAGAATCCTAATCACTAACCACTGGGATAAAAGGGCTTGTTTGTGTAGCGGGTGAGTGCGCCCATAACCCCCCAGGCCAACGTGTGTGTAACCCTTCCCTAGGATCAATCAGGGATCACCAGTGGACCTCTGACAGGAAGGAGGGGGATGGGGGTTGCAGGGAGGGGGGGTGTATGAACTTGAGTTCCAGCTTGAGCTTTAGGGTGGCTAGAGGTGTGGAATGATGTCAGTCATGCATCTAAAGGCGTATCACCTCTAGGCTCGAAACCCCAAATTCAAACATGCGTACCGTTTTCACTGTACAAACACTGTCCTTTATAGTTCCAAAAGCAAATGTGAACAAAACTAAAGATGTGATAGCATGTTCGCCAAGTGACGCCCCCCTTGTTCGAACAAGCACCTTGTTTGAACATGCGACGTCGCCCAAAATTGGGCGATGGCGCGAGGCGATGAATCCAGCGTTTGAGGGTTTGTCAGCCTCTACGAACAGGCCAAAAATGCTTTCGCATTCAATGTGACACTCGCAATCCAAAAAAATCATTCGTGGGCAACGCGGCGCACGGCTGACGAATTCAATGCCTTGTCCCTGCGGAATTTCTGTCACCTAGGTCTGGGCGTTCGAACAACTCTGTCCAAACGTGCAGCGTGAATTGCTACCCGCCCAATGTGACAGCGTTGTTCGAATGGGCGACAATTCCGTCATGCGACGTCGTAAAAGCCCTTGCGAGGCGTGACGACAAATGTTACATTTCGCCTGTTCGAACGAGAGTGTTGTTCAAACAGCGAGCTGACACGCCCTTATGCAAAGTTCATACTGTCTGGCCCCGGATATAGGGGCCGTGCGATTAAAGGTGCCGGCGCTTCTATCTGGAGCATGGCGCTTATGGCCGATCGTCGATTATTAGCGCACCTCCTTTGAAGCTTTTACTTATTATAGGCGCATCCTTCTATATTCCATAATGTTCTTTTATAAGAAACTAACAATTATCATTGTGTTCACTACACTGATCAACACAATTATCATTATGGTGCGCCAACAGTTACGGCCCAACAATTTCACAACAACCTAACTACTCAAGCGTTACTGCACTTCTTCTATTCTCCCATGGTACCGTAGTAGCTACTCCTCATCAGAATCGGGCTCCTGGCAGTTGTTGCCAAAGAAGCCGTCGGCGATGAAGTGATTATCGACATCCACCTCCGCGGTCAGCTGGCTCCGCCTGTGCGCCATGACGAGCCCGTCCTCACTGCTTTCAAGCGCGTTGCTAATGCCGCAGGTGAGTAAGGCGTGAAACGTCAGAGGATTAAACCGTCGATTACCTACCCGCTTTGGTCAGCTGCCCTTGATCCTCTTCTTCAAACCACTTCTGGTACTGCTGGCGGACCGACGCTTTAAACGACTTGTTGATAGAGACATCAAGGGGCTGTACCTCCGCCATGCAGCCCGACGAGATGACCGTCGGCACGCAGTTGAGCTTGCGGAATTTCTCCTGCACGTGACCACCGTAGGAATCCAGCACAACCATCGAGCTCCGCGCTTGCCTTCCGAACCGGGGATTGAAGAAGGGCTTGATGCACTCTTTAAGCCATCGAATGACGCCCTTGGCGTCCATCAACCCATTCTGGTGGCATGCCACGACCACATCTGCACTGTCAGAACAATGTCCAGGAAACTGAAACTGCATGAGCCATCACCAAGATTCAAGTTTTACTCGGAAGGAAATCACCCTTCGGGCAGGTCTTCCACTTGAAAAAAACCCATGGCTTAAGCTTCTCCCCGTCCGCCATGCACGCCAACATGACGGTCACACGCTCCTTGTAGTACCCCGCGCTCCTGATCGGCACCGACTGCGCGCCTGTTTCTTCGACGGTCGTGGTGGCGGGCATCTCCAGCCAGAGCGGCGTCTGGTCGGCGTTGACAATCCACCTGGTCTCGGTGCCGCGCTCACGACGCTTGTCACGGACGAATTGCCAAAACTTCTTGCACTGCTCCGCGACATCTGTAGAAGTAGAAACGAGTGGATGAGGTGGGGATGCAAACAGGAAAATTTGTAAAACAGTCAGAAATGCATATACACATAAACATATCATATACACCGTGAATCTTACGGGCGGCGGTCTTCTGAGCAACCATCGTCTTCATGCGCACGCTCAAATTCAACCGCTGCCGAAAATGCTCCGACCACCTTTGGCTCCCTTTCCACTTCGCCTCGGGGAAGAGTGTCTTCATGAAATCTCGCGACCACTCCTGCAGGCGGCCGACGGAGACGGTCGTTCCTTTGGAGCGCGTGGACTTTTATCTCCATCGACCGGTACCACGACGCCCTCCCGTGACCGTGCATGCGCTTGCGTGCTGAGTGTACTTGTTTGAGGAATTCCGACGCACGCTTCCAGTTCGTGAGACATTTGCGGTGGATGCCACTCTCACGAGCCAAGGAGCGCACGGACACCGCCAAATCCAGCCGCGCGACCCACTTCAGTTTCTCGGTGGCAGTTAGGCCTGTCGCTTGTGCTCGCTGAGCTTATGCCTAGGAGAGGGGGAGCGGGCATCACGGTTCTGTGAAGCAGGGTGGGGTCGCTTGCGATTAACAGGAGGATAAGACGGTATAGGCAGTTTCTCTCGTAGCCCGTCGCGAGACCAGTACTGGACATCGTCGTCGTTGTCACTGCCCGCAGCACCCTCGGGAAACACATCCTCAGCTGTGCCGGCGTCGGTGCCGGCCTCGGTGCCACCCTCCGTGCCACCCTCCGTGCCGTCAGCTTCCTCGTCGTCAGCGCCGACTGCAGATTCGTCCCACGTGCAGTCGTTGGGCTGTCCCCATCGTGGTGCTGGAGCCGGAGCTTCTACGTACTCATCTGAGGCCCTGTTGGAATCCGGTTCCGAAAGGTACTCGTCGAACACCGATGGTAGCAGGAGCGTGAGCACGGGGTGATTGCGCGTGAGGCCTGGAGCCACAGGATACACAGGACACAGAGGAACAGGAGGACCAAGAGGCGCAAGAGGAGCAGGAGGATCAGGCGGCGCAGGAGGCGCATAAGTTTGTGGTGGCTCTGGTGGGATACGGGAATACCACCGTCAGCGTCAACTCTAAACGCGGGCCTAGCGGTAGGCTTCTTCTTGAACAAGAAGTGGCGGTGAATTCCGCTATGGTTTTTGCAGCCTGGCGTGAGAGAACAGAAAACTGGCTGAACAACTGGATGAATGAGTTAAGAAATGAAAGATTGAAGGGGACCCCCTCAGCTTAACGCCTCGGGGTCCTCATCAATGAACGAGGGGTACCCCCCCGCCTGAACCCGCAGAGGAGGGTTCATGGTACCATCCAAGCTGCGCTGGCAGGGCGTATTCCACCCTTCTAGAGGGTTCGGTTGAAATGCTCCTGCCTGGCAGCGAATGAGGACCTGATTGGGCCGCACGGCAGGCTGCGCGTCAGCGCTGACAGGTGCGCTGCCCAATCAGGTCCTCATTCGCTGCCAGGCAGGAGCATTTCAACCGAACCCTCTAGAAGGGTGGAATACGCCCTGCCAGCGCAGCTTGGATGGTACCATGAACCCTCCTCTGCGGGTTCAGGCGGGGGGGTACCCCTCGTTCATTGATGAGGACCCCGAGGCGTTACCATGCGCACGTCACATTGCTGTGTTTGCCTTATCGAGGGCTTCATTTTGGTACCTTTTGATACCATTTTGCCTTTATAAAAGTGTTAGCACTAATGGTCGTTACTCAATGACAAGCGCCCCCCCTTAGAAAATATATATTTATTATAAGCGCATATGCGCTACTATTCGGGGCAATACGGTACACCTACTTGGGACGTGGGTTCAAGAGGCCATTGACAACGAGGTAGAACCAAATCCCAAAGCACAACTACTTTGATGCTCAGTGGCGAGCGAAATGCCAGCACTGATGCCGCCATCAACTCTCCCCACAATCCCTC